AAACATCTTCTTATGGGTGTGGGAGAAAGTGGGGGGGGGGGGCTATATACAGGTGAGCGACCTCTTGTTACTTCTTTAATTTCTTATTATACCATATTTCTGCTAATAATAAAGTTGATGTCATCCTCAAGATGAAGTGAGATTCAATTGTGGTACCAGTGATGCAGCGGTGTCGAGAGAAACAGATTTTTTCTTAATATCTACATTAATATACATTGATGCTTGTTAATCATAGATTTATTTTCAGAAATAAAGAAAACCTGCTTATTGTCTTGTTTCTGCTCTTTTTTCACCCACACAGTTTTTGTCCAACTGATTCAAGTTTGCCAACATGTTCTGACGATGGCACAGTTGAGAGTTTGGGAACTTTTTACGAATGTTATGAGGAGAAAAATATTACGAGGTATAGGCCTTTCCTGATTAAAATTGCTAAGAAACTGCCCCAAGTGTTATTAATTGGCGTGAGAAACTGAACTTAATGCTATGACATGTATACTGAGAGACAGGATTTCAGATACCAGAAACATAACGATGGTGTACTGAGATTTGCTTAGGTGTACTTGCATAGGAAATGCCAATTGTGTGTGTATACACAGACATGATTAATGATGGCATTATATAATTTTGATCGCGTCATGAAGAAAAACCCCAACATAATCGGGGGACTTTTTTGGCGAAACCCAGCATGGATCCAGACCGAAGCCTGCGGGGCATCCGGCCGCCAGTCTGATCAGGATCCATGCCTGTTCGTTTACCCAAACTCTATAAAACAAGTAGAGAAACTGATAGCAAACAGCATGGATCCTGATCAGACTGCACGAATGCGCAGGCTGGTCTGGATCCATGCTGGTCGCAAACGCATTACGTTGGTTTTGTCATGACGCGGCTCAATTATGTAACTGATGTTTGGGATATATTGAGGTCTGAAGTTCATGTGAGTGATGTGTATAGTAATTAGCTCAGCTCAAGCTGATGTGTATTTTCTCAATCACATTAATGATAGACCATCCTATATACTGCATTTACACACATATTTGGGCTTGAACAGTTTTACACCTCTCTGTCTGTGGGTATGTGCCTCTGTTGGTAAACATTGTCCAATCCATATCTCAGTCATGTATCAAAGGATTTTAAAACAATTTTGCACAAATGATGAGACCCCTAGCTCCAGGGTTAAGGTCACAATTAGAGGTCAAAGTCACTGTTTAATGCAGCAAGGGATTTTGAAACAATTAAACACAAATTTAGAGAAGATGAGGTGGTGTGTATACCCATAGCTTCAGGTCAAGGTCACATTTAGAGATCAAAGGTCAAGAAAATCTTATCCAGCTCATAGGTCTGTCTTGCAGTAAGGGATTTTATTATAGCTTAGCACAAATGTGTAGCATGATGAGTGTTTGTCATGCGCAAGAACAAGACCCCATATGTCAAGGTCATCCTGCTGTTTATTTGGTCTGTTATAGACTATAACTAGTGCATCATGGGATTTTGAAGTCAGTTGGCAAATTCATTGTTTAGCATGATGAGTGCTTTCCTTAGTGGAATTTCACTTATCATATTGTCTTAACAAAAAAAAATTAAAAAGTTTTGTTCTCGAAACCCCTGAATTTTGCTATTATTGACTGAAACTATGTAATTAAATGGATATCTTGATACTTGGACAAAACATTTTTATGCCCCCGAAGGGTGGCATATTAAAATCAAACCTGTCTGTCTGTGTGTCCCCACTTCATTTGTGTCCAAACTGTAACTTTGTCTTACATTGAGGGATTTTGAAATCGCTTGGCAGAAATGTCTACCACATTAAGACGATGTGTGGCATATAAGAACCACGTCCCTACCTCATAGGTCAAGGTCATACTATAATTTTGAAATTTCACGTTATCAGTTAATAGGTATGTACAAACATTTGTGGCCGGACTTTAACTTTGTCATGCATCCAAGGATTTTAAAAAAACTTGGCATAAATATCAACCACATCAAGACAATGTGTCACGTCCAAAAATCACGTCCCTACCTCAAAGGTCAAGGAAGGACACACCAACATTTTGAAGTTTCACTTTATCACAATTAGAGTTTATAGGTGTACAAATTCATGTTCGGACTGTAACTTTGTCATGCATTGAAGAGTTTAAAAATTACTTGGCACAAATGTCTTCCACATCATGACCACGTGTTTTGTGTAAGACCAATGTCAAGGGCACTTATAGTTTGGAGGTACTTATGCTCATACTTTAAAGGTACACATTAGTTTCCAAACTGTAACATTGTCATGCATTGAGGGATTTTAAAATGAGTTGACATAAATGTCTACCACATCAAGATGATGCGTCACATCCAAGACCCATGTCCTAAGGTGGTAAGTTTGCATAAATAGCACTTTACAACAACAATATTAAGCAATTTGTTACTTTCATTCTCTTTTTTTATCATAATACCTTTCTGCAATGCTTAAGAAACCTTTTAAAAGAGAGGGCAATTGTCAAATTTTCATGACAGCTTTTGGTTTTTAACAAGACCATCTACAAGGTCGAACTGGCATTGACTTTGAGTTTTAAATAACCTTAACCGTCCAGGTCAAAGTCCTTAGGATAGGACCTTCATATATACATCAACTCAAATTGACCATGACTCATGTATGACCTTAACCTTCAAGGTCAAATTATTGAACTTTTAATGTCCGTCCGTCGTCCGTCCGTAAACTTTTACTTTAAATGACATCTCCTCATAAACCACTAAGCCAATTTCATCCAAACTTCACAGGAATGTTCCTTTGGTGGTCACCTTTAAAAATTGTTCAAAAAATTTAATTCCATGCAGAACTCTGGTTGCCATGGCAACCAAAAGAAAAAACTTTAAATATCTTCTTTTAAAAAACCCAAAGAGCTAGAGCTTAGATATTTGGCATGAAACATCTTCTAGTGAGTGTCTACCAAGTTTGATCAAATAAAAGCCCTGGGGTCATAATTGGCCTCGCCCCAGGGGGTCATTGATTTTCCCTATATGCATATAGTAAAAACTTAAAAAATCTTCTTTAAAAGAACCCATAGAGCTAGAGCTAAGATATTTAGCATGAAACATCTTCTAATGGGTGTCTACCAAGTTTTTTCAAATAAAAGCCCTTGTGTCGAAATTGGCCCCGCCCCAGGGGGTCATTGATTTTCCCTATATGCATATAGTAAAAACTTAAAAAATCTTCTTTTAAAGAACCCAAAGAGCTAGAGCTAAGATATTTAGCATGAAACATGTTCTAATGGGTGTCTACAAAGTTTGTTCAAATAAAAGCTCTGGGGTCAAAATTGGCCCCGCCCCGGGGGTCATTGATTTTCCTTATATGTGTATAGCAAAAACTTAAAAAATCTTCTTTGAAAAAACCCAAATAGCTAGAGTTTAGATATTAAGCATGAAACATCTTCTAGTGAGTGTCTACCAAGTTTGTTCAAATAAAAGCCCTGGGGTCAAAATTGGCCCCGCCCCAGGGGGTCATTGATTTTCCCTATATGCATATAGTAAAAACTTAAAAAATCTTCTTTTAAAGAACCCAAAGAGCTAGAGCTAAGATATTTAGCATGAAACATGTTCTAATGGGTGTCTACAAAGTTTGTTCAAATAAAAGCCCTGGGGTCAAAATTGGCCCGCCCGGGGGTCATTGATTTTCCTTATATGTGTATGGCAAAAACTTAAAAATCTTCTTTGAAAAAACCCAAATAGCTAGAGTTTAGATATTAAGAATGAAACATCTTCTAGTGAGTGTCTACAAAGTTTGTTCAAATAAAAGCCCTGGGGTTAAAACTGGCCCTGCCCCAGAGATGTCATTGTTTTTAACTATATGTGTATAGTAAAAACTTAAAAAATCTTCTTTTAAAAAACCCAATGAGCTAGAGGTTAGATTTTAAGCAGGAAACATCTTTTTGTTGGTGTCTACCAAGTTTGTCCAAATAAAAGCCCTGGGGCTTAAACTGGCCCGCTCCGGGGGCCTATATACAGGTGAGCGACCTCAGGGCCATCATGGCCCTCTTGTTAGCTAGAGCTAAGATATTTAGCATTAAACATGTTCTAATGGGTGTCTACAAAGTTTGTTCAAATAAAAGCCCTGGGGTCAAAATTGGCCCCGCCCCGGGGGTCATTGATTTTCCTTATATGTGTATAGCAAAAACTTAAAAATCTTCTTTGAAAAAACCCAAATAGCTAGAGGTTAGATATTTAGCATGAAACATCTTCTAGTAAGTGTCTACAAAGTTTGTTCAAATAAAAGCCCTGGGGTCAAAACTGGCCCTGCCCCTATATACAGGTGAGCGACCTCAGGGCCATCATGGCCCTCTTGTTTATAGTATTTTTAGAGTAATTGCCCTTGACTTAGTAAAATTTTGCTATTTTCAACTTGTGTCGCATTATCTGAAGAAGGATTTGACCTAGAGTCATGAAACTTTACAGGAATGTTGATAAGCATGTTGTTGTGGATTTATCCAGTATTTGTAGAGTTATTTCCCTCGACTTAGTAAAAACCTTTTCATTATGTTGTTATTGTTCCTTGAGTGCTTGAGTTATAATCAACCAACTTCACAGGAATAATGATTAACATCACTGTGAAGCTATGCACCTGGGACTTTGAATATGGATTGTTTTCAGTTTTGTTAGAGTTCTTGCCCTTTACTTAGTAAAAGATTTTTAGTTTTCAACTTGTGGCACATGTAGTCCAAAAAATATTTGACCTTGAGTCATAAGATTGACAGAACAGTGGCAGTGGCGTGTGGGGGCACCCATGTCCTTTGGACACATTTCTAGTTATAATTTTATATGTAAAATTAGTGTCTATTCTAGGATGCGGGGATTTTTTCAGAGACAGGGTAAAATTTACATAGAGAAAGAAGGAAAACAATTACAGAAGTAATAAATTCTCACTTTTCTATAAAAATCCCCCCTGTTTTCAAACCCTAGAATAGACACTGTACAATTGAATGCTGTGATAGTGTAAGAGAAAGAGTTACAATTTTATTTAGGTCATGGTGCCGATGTAAAGTGTGTGGACTGGCATCCACAGAAGTCATTAATAGCATCTGGAAGTAAAGATAACCAAGTACCAATCAAACTCTGGGATCCAAAGTCAGGACAAAGTTTAGCTACATTGTAAGTGCAGGTTTGATGAATTTAACTAATATCCCTTAAGTCAGGACAAAGTTTAGCTACATTGTAAGTGAAGGTTTGGTGAATTTGATTTATAACCCTTAAGCCAGGACAAAGTTTAGCTACATTGTAAGTGAAGGTTTGATGAATTTAAGTAATAACCCTTAAGCCAGGACAAAGTTAAGCTACTTTGTAAGTGGCGGTCTGATGAATTTAAGTAATAACCCCTAAGCCAGGACAAAGTTTAGCTACTTTGTGACTGAATGTTTGATGAATTTGATTTATAACCCTTAAGTCAGGACAAAGTTTAGCTCAGGGTTGACATTAACATTTTTTGCAGAAGGTTTGTTTTGAACTTGAGGCGGTCATTTCTGTCTTTATCATGCATAACAAAGAGTGTTTTCTTAATTTTGAGGCAGCCCATGATGCATTTGAGACAGGCATTTTGGCCTCTTGCCGCCTCTTAATGACAACCCTGTTAGCTACATTGTAAGTGAAGGTTTGATGAATTTGATTTATAACCCTTAAGCCAGGACAAAGTTTAGCTACTTTGTAAGTGAAGGTTTGATGAATTTAAGTAATAACCCTTAAGCCAGGACAAAGTTTAGCTACTTTGTAAGTGAAGCTTTGATGAATTTAAGTTATAACCCTTAAGCCAGGACAAAGTTTAGCTCCTTTGTAAGTGAAGGTTTGATGAATTTAAGTAATAACCCTTGAGTCAGGACAAAGTTTAGCTACTTTGTAAATGAAGCTTTGATGAATTTAAGTTATAACCCTTAAGTAAGGACAACGTTTAGCTACATTGTGAGTGAATGTTTGATGAATTAAAGTCATAACCAATAAGTCAGGACAAAGTTTAGCTACAATGTAAGTGCAGTGTTGATGAATTTAAGTTATACAATAAGACAGGACAAAGTTTAAATACTTTGTAAGTAAAGGTTTGATGAATTTTAGTTATAACCTTTAAGTCAGGACAAAGTTTAGCTACATTGTAAGTGAAGGTTTGATGAATTTAAGTCATAACCCTTAAGTCAGGACAAAGTTTCCCTACATTGTAAGTGCAGGTTTAATGAATTAAAGTAATAAATGTCACCCTGCTGGAACCAAAGTTGATTAAGCTCTGACACCAGTAAAGAACTAGGCAATTATGAGCAAGACTGTGCCACAAATTCAGAAGGTTAAGGGTTAACATTTTAAACTTACATTGTGTAAAGCATGGTATTTGTTGCATATTTAAAGCTTAGTTAGCTTACAGTATAGAATGAAAAGCAAAAATCTTCCAAATGAACCAACTGATCAGAATCATTGAAAGGCTGTTAACATATTCTTCAATATTATTTTTGATCAACCATGATGAAAAAAAACACTTGTCTGTGTAGAATAGAAGTATTACTAATTAGTATAAACATGCTATCAACCAAAGCAAATTAATGCTTAAAGTATAGTATTTCCATAGAATAGTAAGCTTTTTTTACATATTTGGTAACCAATGTCACAGCAAAATGTCTTAACAGTAATGAATTTTTTACATATAATAATCCGAAAAATGTGTTCAACACAACAACAGTTTCTTTTTAAATAAGTACATATAACTTTTGTTTTCTAGACATGCTCATAAATTCACTGTGATGGACATAAAGTGGAATCAGAATGGTAACTGGTTATTAACAGCAGCTAGAGATCATCTTATGAAGTTATTTGATATTAGAAATCTCAAAGAAGAACTTCAGGTCTTTAAAGGTCACAAGAAGGAAGCTACAGGTATATTGACGTGGTGTATTTGAGCCATGTCATGACAAAACCAACGTAATGTGTTTGCGACCAGCATGGATCCAGACCAGCCTGCGCATCCATGCAGTCTCATCAGGATCCATGCTGTTGGCTTACCACCCCTATTACATGTAGAGAAACTGATAGCGAACAGCATGGATCCTGATCAGACTGCGCGGATGCGCAGGCTGGTCTGGATCCATGCTGGTCGCAAACCCACTATGTTGGTTTTGTCATGACACGGCTCACTTGTCCCTCACTGCTGTAGGTGTGAATCCCACCAGGGACTTTGGATACTTGCATGTGAGGAAACTATCCTACAGAATGTTGGTGATTCTACTCAGAGCCACGCTTGTGCTTTAGGTCTTCCGTTGCCACTAAAGCTGGAAAGATGCTTTATGATCTCTATTGTGTTGATGCGATGTAAAACCAAACCCAAAAAATATCTATGACTGCCTTATTAAATTCCTTCTTAAAGTGTACTTGTGAAATTCATTTGTTGATTGTAAATCATAACAAAATTAAACTGCAAAATTCAGCTTGAAAGATTATAGTAATTGTTGAAAACTATTTGTTATCCATTTGAATTTGATGTGTTTTCATGATGTCTAAGCCTTTAAGGGATATTATACAAGATAATTTAGATTTTAGACAGTGATATACATGTATATTATATCCTATATTATCTTGATATTACAGCTGTGGCATGGCATCCAATCAATGAGCAGATGTTTGCCAGTGGAGGATCGGACGGTGCAATCATGTTCTGGAATGCTGGGTAAATAATTACTTAAAAAAAGTAAGGGGCCTCCCTGGCTTATGGATGTTTAGGTTACTGAGTTTTAATCCCTTATCCTTATTGCCTAGGATATGCAGTCACTAGCTGCTAATGACATGAAACCTGCAACCTCTTTAAGATTGCAGTTTAGTTTGATGTTCTACTTTGTGGCCTCTGTATGCTTTATATAATTCACGAAGGATGCAAGGTAATATGAATGCAGTATAATAAACTAATAATAATTAATGTTTTATAGGACAGAGAAAGAGGTAGGAGCTATTGAGGAAGCACATGAAGCAATCATCTGGGACTTGGCCTGGCACCCACTGGGTCATATACTCACATCTGCCTCTAATGATCATTCTACGTAAGTTATCTTCATGGTTTTCTGGTACAACAAATAAATGAGCCGTGTCACGACAAAACCAACATACTGGGTTTGCGACCAGCATGGATCCAGACCAGCCTGCGCATCCGCGCAGCCTGATCAGGATCCATGCTGTTCGCTATCAGTTTCTCTATTTGTTATAGGGTTGGTAAGCAAACAGCATGGATCCTGATCAGGCTGCGCGGATGCGCAGGCTGGTCTGAATCCATGCTGGTCGCAAACCCATTATGTTTGTTTTGTCGTGACGCAGCTCAAATGTTTTCACTTACATGTTGATACAGATTAACAGAAATTGTCATGTCAGTGGTAGTAAAATATTAATTGTAAATTTGCCACTTATTGGTAGGAAAGTAATGTATTTCAAATTCAATTGTCTTTTCCTGTTTTGACTGCAGGGGGTCTTTATTTGTTTGAAAAAATAATATAGTTTGAAATTGAGGTAGACTTGAAAAACATTGTTCACAAGAAGCAAGAAAAACAAAATGGCTTTAGTTGATACAAATTTATTTTAGTTCAATTGTGTTGGAAGCTATAAGCGTATTGAAACACTCTCGAATACGTTCCTGGAACCAACCAGTACTAGGCCATGAATGTAAAGTTTCTTACTCAAGGAAACAACGGCTTGCCCCTAACTGTGTTTGAACCCACGCGGTCACCAATCCTTAGATTACTAGTCCAACGTGTTAACCACTCGGCCACGCTGCTAAAATGGTTTTATGTCTGGACAGGCGTTAGAGTGTCATAAATTTGTATTGTCATACTATTGTGAGTACTGTATATACTTATGTGATGTAATTTTTATATGAAGGTTAATTTATTAAGATGTTAAAAATCTTGTTTTCAGGAAATTTTGGACACGTAATCGACCAGGTGATGCTATGAGAGATAAATACAATCTGAACATAATGGCATATGGTCCTGATGGGGAGATTATAGATATAGGTAAGCTGAGGGTTCGAATCTCAGTGCAGGCTGGAGGAAACTGTCCAGCTAGTTGATGGTTCTACTTGGGTGATCTTTCATGCCTGAAATAATGAATACATGTATTAACTTTTGTTCATTATGAGAAGTAAAGTTTGTTGACAAACACTTAAATTTTTTGAAGTGCAAGACTTAAAATTTTTTGAAATGCAAGACAACAAATAACAGGGATTAGCTCAGTGGAAAATTCGAAACAATTTTCAGAGTTATGGTCATTTAATAATTGATATTTATTCTTTTGTTGTGAAAAGGATTTTGTCACAGATGAAGACATTTCTTGCAACATATTTTAAATGGAAAACTGTAAATTGCAATCATCATTTTGCTTATGCTTTAGCTAAATTTTGTGCTATGAAGCTTGGAGTTACAAGTAAATGGCAAATGTTTTCATCGTAACTTGAAATCCAGTAAAAAATTACCATGAACACATAATGTTTCCAGCCGGTGATGGAAACAGGCTGCTGTAAGGTAAAGAAAGGGGAAAAAATTCTAAATACTTAAAGGAACATAATGACTCAGAGAGAATAAATGTTTACTTCTTTAGAAAGGGAAAACATGAGTTTTATGATGTTTGAATGATGCTTTCAGAGCATGTTGGATGCTTGTTATCTGAAGAAAGTAGCGCTAAACGTGAAATTATTTGTAATAAAAATAGCAGAATGTTAACAAAGTAGTATCTTGACTTCCATACAAAACACTTTCAGTATAACTGTACCAACTACCAAAAAGCAACGGAGGAAAAACACATATGAGCCATGCTATGACAAAACCAACATTATGGGTTTGCGACCAGCATGGATCCAGACCAGCCTGCGAATCCGCGCAGTCTGATCAGGATCCATGTTGTTCGCTATCAGTTTCTCTACTTGTTATATGGTTTGTAAGCGAACAGCATGGATCCTGATCAGACTGCGCGGATGCGCAGGCTGGTCTAGATCCATGCTGGTCAAACACCCATTATGTTGGTTTTGTCATGGCGCGGCTCATATCAGTTCATTGACCAATGAGTTACTTTGTCAAAACTATAAAAGCACAGCAAAATAAAAAAAAAAGGCTTCTTGTGAAATAAAACATGAAATATTTCTGGGGCATAATGGGCCATTAAGGTTTGACATATTATGATTGTATATTTCAGATGCGGATGTACCACTGGGGGAAAACAAAAGTTTACTGCCAGGAATGGGACTAGAATTTGGACTACCTCCTGAACCAGAGATAAAACCTGGTAATTTATTTGTCACATAATTCTTTGAGTTCAATTTATGTATGAAATAGCTTGAAAAATATAGAAGTATAATTTGTGAATTTACAAATAAAGTAATTTACTTACAATCAACGTAAATTACCAGAAAGAGGTCGAAATATGCAAAAAATAGCTCTTACTGTGTTAGTCACATAGTAGAAATATGGTGATAAATACTGCAAATTAGTCATTCATCGCACACAACATGTGAATTAATACTTGAATATTGAATTATTTTACTTTTCTTTAAGTCTTAGTACAATTTTCTCAGGTTTGATTTTCTTGAAATATTTTTGCTCATCAAGAGGTGTGCAGCTTTAAGTGTTTGTTTGGAGCATAACTTTTTCTACATGTGACACCAGTACCAGTTCATTCTGGGAAGCCTACACAAAAGGTAGTTTAGACAAGCTGCAAGCTTTCTACACAACTGAGTTAACATAAATTTGATTAAAGAAAATTTATTTTCTATATATATAATTATCTACTACACAAAAGGAAAAGTTTGTGTAGTATATAATTTTTAATTAACTGTTTCCAGATTGAATATTTTCTATATAGAACCAGTTTGAGTTAACATAAATTTAATTAAAGAAAATCTATTTTCTACATAGAACCAGTGGAGGAGGAATTACCATCTATCCCTGGGCTAGACTGGTCCTCGGATGCTCAGTACTTTAAAGAACAACAAGCCAAAATTGAGGACAGGCAGCCTAGGAAGAAAGCACCTTACTCTAGACCTATCCCGAAAAGTTTTGAACAGGCTTGGATCACCAACCAGCAGCCTGGAACACTCGTTAAAGATGGTAAGGAGCAAAGTGTGCGAGTATTTACTAAGTGCTATTTGTTCATTTGCTACAAAACAATATTAAAGAAGTAATTTGAATGTTATTTCCCATTTATGGAGACAAAAATTTCCAACCATTCTGTTAAGGTGTTGAACATATGGTTCTGTGTTTTTGTTTTAAGTAGAACTTAGCTGGTAAGCATTGTTTAAAATCTTTTTGACCATTAGAATCATTTTTTTTTGTGACACCTTTATTAACCGCAGAAATATTAACATAGCAGTTAAGCATTGTTTGAAATCTTTTTTACTGTTAGTTTAATTTTTTGTGACACATTTATTAAGTACAGAAATATTTACATATATTTAACAATTTAGCTTGTCTGTTTTGAAGAAAAAGTCAAGCTTTTATGATCGCTGAGGCATTGTCATCAGCGTCATACTGCAAAAACTTAAATGTTGCCCATTATTCAAACATTTTATCAACATGGATCTTGGAATGCTTGCTTGCTTGCATAATTCTGAAAGCAATATTTTTCGAGTTATGCCCATTTTTAACTTAGAAATTTTAAAAGACAAGCTTTAACACATTGAGCGGTTGTCTTATTTCATACTTTGCTTACATGCATTTTCACTTTGATTTCATTGCATAACTATAGGGATACATGTATATCATTATTGTTTCTGTTACAGTTGAAGGTAAAATGAAGAGAGGTAGAATTCAGTCATTGCTTACACTAGACCTGCCTGCTAAACCTAGAAAAGGTTTGTTTCACATAATTATCATGATTGATCGAACTTATTATATGATAAACATGTATGAGGGGATCTCTCAAGAAATCATGGACTTTGTTTTAAGAAAATTTATTTTAGTTAACTTTATACAAATTTATCTTGGTTTGATTATTTTGGAAGCTATAACATATTGAAACACTCTTAAATATTCCTGGGACCAATCAGTACTAAGCAATGAGTGTTAAGTTACTCACGGAAATAACGGCACAGCCCACACAGCCATCAATTGTTAGATTACGTCAGTCGTCTGACGCGTTAACCATTCGGCCATGCCACCGCTCTCAAAATTAAATTTTATTTGTTATCATTTCAAAAAAGACTGAGACATTATTTTAGGTATGAAATCTTCATACTGTATTTTATCATTTTGATATTTATTTTCTTTGCATAATATAATACTTATTGTAGCACACACCTGAAACTACTATTTTGTATTCAAATCAATCTAAATTAGACATCTATATGCTTATAATTGTACAGCAGCATGTAATCTGCTATTTATGGTTTTTTCGTTAAACATATTAGCTTTTTAAAATGTTAAACAAAGCATTAGGTCCAGGGTAAAGTGATATTCTAAATTGCCATCTCTGACAATAGTTCAGAAGTTAGTGTTTGTGAGATAAGATTCCAGGATCATTCCACACTCATGTACCATAAATGAGCCGTGCCATGACAAAACCAACGTAATGCGTTTGCGACCAGCATGGATCCAGACCAGCCTGCGCATCCACGCAGTCTGGTCAGAATCCATGCTGTTCGCTAGCAGTTTCTTTACTTGTTATAGGGTCTTTAAGGGAACAGCATGGATCCTGATCAGACTTTGGGATGCACAGGCTGGTCTGGATCCATGCTGGTCGCAAACCCATTATGTTGGTTTTGTCATGACACGGCTCAAATGTGATAAGTTTGGCACACTGTAGATATGATTTTGTAATAGTTGTGTTTGCTGTGATTATATAAAAGCAGTAATACCATAAAGTTTTTAATTCCTCAGCATATTCGGAATTAATGTTTTGAGGAAATTTTTGTCACGTTTAATGTACTGTACCAGACTACCACAAATTCCATGATATTAAAAAACTCATAATGCATCGGTAACTATAAACCACATGCAAAAAAGCAAGACATATTGTTATGGTTTAAAAGATTTGCAAAGAATAAATGAAAACATGCAGGAGAAAAAAAACACATGATATTTGATATGTATTTTTTGTTGGTTTTCAGAAGAATTTGATGATAGAGGAAATAGGCTCATAGACCCTAATATAGATCAATCAAATACAGGTAATATGATTATAGTGTTTATCAATTAAATTTCATGAATATAATTTTGTTTGAAAAGCTACAATAATTAGCTTGAAAAAGAGAAGAAATTAAATATTCAGTATTAATATTAAAACTTGTATTAATATATTTAATGGTTTGTTGTGGTAGTTTAAAAATTCTTTGTGTGACAATTAAGGTTTGTTTTTAGCTTTTTGTTTTCTCTTTTTTTAAACGCAGGATAGAAAACATATAATTCTCTTTTCCCAATTATTCTTCAGATTTGATATTAAATTCTAGCTATTGTTTTAATGAATTATTCAAACTGCCAAATAAAAAGAATAATAAACCTTATTGCATAATGATATAATAATCATTCTTTGAAGTGAAACATAAATCTGTCTCCAGTAATAGGTGAGGTGTAATTAAAGTATCTGTCTCTTAATACAGGGATTGTGTGTTCAAACTATTCTGGGGTTGTTACCTAGGTGTCTGATATGACATCAGTATTGTTAAGTTCAGTACACAATTAAGAGGACTTTAGATTATCTCTGAGCTTTCTCCATGATCATGCTGACATAAATTTAGTTTAATTTAGATCAGTGAACTTCTTTCTTTAGTAAAGATATACATTGTGAAATTATTTTCTATTTCAGAGGGATTTAACCCGTTACCAGATGATCATAATCCTTATCTTGATGATGCAGACGATCAGTTTCCCGATGATCAGGATTTCCGTGGTGACCAGGATTTCCGCAGCGACCAGGATTTCCGCAGTGATCAAGATTTCCGAGAAGATCAGGATATGAGGGATGACCAGGACTTCCGTGGTGATATGGACTTCAGACAGGCTGAAGGGGGTGGGGGTTATAACGGTCCTGGTTCCGTTGGATCATTTGGGTCTCAAGGTGGAGGGCCTAAGGGTAGAGATGGAGGTAGAAGAGGGGGTGGTGGTCCGAGGCAGGGCTTCCACGGGGATAGAAGTTTTGGACATGAAGATATGGATCATGATAACTATGATCGTGATTATAATTCCGGGCCAAATAACAGACCACCTGATGGTGGAGGACAACAGAGACAGTTCGGGCAGAAAAATCCCCCAAGCTTAATGGATCTTAGTTTTAATTCAAATGAATCCTCAGACTTAAATTTGAAAGATCACAGTCCTGGACCAAAAGGTCGAGGACGAGAAGCGCGAGGACGTGATAGACATGGGGAAAGAGGTGGTAGAGGGGGTCAGGATGGTTTCAGAAACAACAGGGGGAGGGGAGGTAGTAATAATAATAGATTTGAGGATAGAGGTGGACGAGGAAACTGGAATGAAGATGGAGATAATAGTTTTAGTGAAAATAATGACAGTTTTAATGATTCACAGGGCAGTAGCAACAGTGGTGGTTATAGAGGAGGTGGCAGCAAACCTAGAGGTGGCAGAGGAAACTATAGAGGTGGTGAAAGGAGAGGTGGTAGGGGTGGACAAAGGGGTAATTACAGGGGTGGCGGTGAAAGTAGAGGTGGGGGAAGGGGACGAGGGCGGGGAAGGCGTTGAACATACTCTCGTAATACCGAGAGTAAACAAGATGTTCAACATTATTTTGTGTCTTCTATAGACCAAAAAAGTGCATTATTGAAATCTTTTTGTATAAGATTGGGTAAGCCAGGCTTGATTTGTTGACAGGTATGCCTCACGCAGCTCAAATGTGAAAATTTACAATTTTGCCCAAAAATACAACGGTGCAAATATTTCCCTTATTCATCACTACTAAAGTGGAGAAGAAGAATTCTAGTGAAACTGTTCATAGTTAAAGTTACAACTGTATGGATCTTCTGAAAAATTTCCATCTTAAGACTGACATGTCCAAATCATCATACAGGCTGTTAGTTTGTCTGGAAAGAGAAGTGTCTACACTCTACATAAGAATATCCAGTTTGGACAGCTGAAGTTTTATTCAATTTTTTATGTTGGGAATAAATACACATTTATGTCCTGCACTTGGTTATGCTAATTGAATACTGATCAAGTTTCACAGCACCAGGGATCGAAAAATTGTCTCAGAGCCATAATTGTGTCCTTCAAGATGAGATGTTGTTAAATTCTTTGAGCTGGCTCGATTTTTATACTTGTCCAGCTGTAAATATCCTCTTATTCTACTAGTAAATTCAAGTAGAGAAGTGAATTTTTCAGTCTTCGTGCACTTACATTGCAATTGTACAGAGATCAGTTGTAGATATATTTGTTCATGTATATAAATATGATGAATATAGTTAATAGTGTGACCCATTTGTAAATTTTAATGAATTATCTTCATTTAGTTTTGATTTCTATATGACCTATGTATACCATCTAGGATGGTCAGTTTAGCAAGTAAATCTTGACACTTATTTTAAACTATGTTGATACTTTGGTTTAATAGTGAGGCGGTGGCCTAGTGGTTAAGGTGTCTGCCTCTCAACCCAGAGATCAAGGGTTCAAGCCCTACTCGGGTTACGACCATGTTTCGTCATTTGACGCCAGTACTGGTTGATTCCAGGAAGCGGACTCGAAAGTGATTAATATAAGTTTCAAGAACTTGTTTCGCTTAAATAAATATGTTTAAACCAATAGTGAGGCAATATTTGTACTAATAGCATGTAGGATATACATGTATTAAGAGATCGTTCTTGAAGTCAGGAGTTAAAAATATTTGTATAAAGATTTATATCAACATTTTTCTGTTACCAAAGAAATTCTATTTTTCTGCTCACTAGTACAAATGTCCTTAAACATCTGGTGTATTTTGAGTTTGTAATGAATTTTTTACTATCTGAAAAAATGGTAGTGACATAGGCAATGGTCATGTTTCAATGTTGACAGAGTTGCCTTAAATTGCATGTTTGAACAACTGAGTGCTAAACTAGGTCCATAAATTATAGTTATGTAAATTCATATTTCATATGCAGTATTGGATTTAATGTGACGTGCTTTTGGTTAGTTTGAAGTTGATAAAGTGTCGAAAGTAAGTGTGAAATAAAAATATATTTATAGGTCCTTGTACTTTCAGATATATTTAGCCATGTCTGTAAGCAATTTGATTATTAAATGTACCGTTCTCATTCTATAACGATATGTCAATAAATCCGTCCTTATTTCATTTCGTGAGTACATCCTAAATAAATCATTCCATTGTTTCAAATTTATCTTTATCAGAAAGGATCAGCTTCTTGAAAAGGCATATCCTAGTTAAATTTTTGTCGTAGACTTTTCCTGTTATTCTCTGTTAATTTAAAGGATATAGTTACCAGATTCCTAAAATTGAGTATTAATCAGTAAATTGTTTGTGCACACTGCAGAGAAGTGCAGTCTGGCTTTGAGACTATAAAACTTGAGTTCCGTTTCTAATCTCAGGATTTTCATTGGTCAATATACATTCTGTGCTGGTTTCTGACCAATTAAACACTTTAGATTTGAGTTTTAGCTATAACCTTGGACCCAAAGTGCGAGGTTATAAAAGAAAATTCTTGGCTCATACTCGGATCTCCGATTGGTCAGAAATCGCTGGCTGTTGTGGCTGAGGGGTTGCCTTTAATGGTTGAAACATAAGAATTGCAGTCACTGTTTATACCTACATTTTTGCAAGAGACAACTAAATAGGTTCAAATAACTGGAGTCCATGCATGTCTCAGCTCAAGCAGGTGGTTTTTACCCCTGATGTGGCTTTGAAGTTTGTAACACGTTCAAAATGAGAGTTTTGTTGAAAATATCTTCAATGCAAGTATCCATCAGTTACACTCTGGACAGGACCTGTTTTGAGTGTTGTATATTTGTAAAATATTTGCTTATATAACTTATAACTGGTGTCTTAGACATTGGTTATTTGAATGAATGAATCTGTACTTTAGTATACAAAATATTTGAGTAACTGAGAATTTGATTCTATTACATTGTTTCTCAAGAAATCACCGCATGTTTTATATAATTGAGAATGATATATGATGATGGCAATGCAGTAAAAACTTCTACTATGACCTGTTGTTTTGTTTTGTTTGTTTATTTTTAGCTCAGCTGAGCTAGCTCAGGGTGAGCTTTTAGGATGGTTGAATGTCCATCATCTGTCCACACTTGTACATTAACACTCCAGCGGTCACATTTTTGCCTCAGTCATCATCAAACTTTGTCAGGATGCATGTCAAGGTAATAGCTCTGATGAGTTTGAACATGAGAAACTAGGTCACAGGAGCTGAAAATAGAAAACCTTGCTAACACTCTAGCAGTCACATTTTTGACTCAATCATCATCAAACTTGGTCAGGATGCTTGTCTAGGTAATTGCTTGGATGAGTTCCAACAAGGGTCATCTTGGATGAAAAACTAGATCTCAGGAGCTAAAAATAGAAAAAATGTTGTTAACACTCTAGTGGCTACAGTTTTGACCCAAATATTCTGGAAATTGGTCTGGAAGTTTGTTTTGATGATTTCTAGGTCAAGTTTGAATATGGGTCACCTGGGGTCAAAAACTAGGTCATACCACCAAAATATGGAAAAACCTTGTTAACACTCTAGTGGTCACATTTTTGACTCAATTATCATCAAACTTGGTCAGGATATTTGTCTAGGTAATTGCTTTGATGAGTTCGAACATGGGTCTTCTCAGATGAAAACCTAGGTAACAGGAGCTAAAAATAGAAAAACCTTGTTTACACTTTAGTGGTCACATTTTTGACTTGATTATCATCAAACTTGGCCAGGATGCTTGTCTAGGTAATTGCTCAGAAGAGTTCGAACATGGGTCATCTCAGATGAAAAACTAGGTCACAGGAGCTAAAAATAGAAAAATCCCGTTAACACTCTAGTGGTCACATTTTTGAATCAATTATCATCATACTTGGTCAGGATGCTTGTCTAGGTAATTGGTCGGAAGAGTTCGAACATGGGCCATCTCAAATGAAAAACTAGGTCACAGGAGCTAAAAATAGAAAAATCTTGTTAACACTAGTGGTCACATTTTTGACTCAATTATCATCAAACTTGGTCAGGATGCTTGTCTAGGTAATTGCTCAAATGTGTTTGAACATGGGTCATCTCAGATGAAAAACTAGGTCACAGGAGCTAAAAATAGAAAAATCTTGTCAACACTAGTGGCTACTGTTTTGATCCAAATATTCTGGAAATTGGTTTGGAACTTTGTTTTCATGATTACTAGGTCAAGTTTGAATATGGGTCACCCGGGGTCAAAAACTAGGTCATACTGCCAAAATATGAAAAAAAACCTTGTTAACACTCTAGTGGTCACATTTTTTACTCAATTATCATCAAACTTGGTCAGGATGCTTGTGTAGGTAATTGCTTGGATTAGTTCGAATATGGTTCTTCTCGGATGAAAAACAAGGTCACAGGAACTATAAATAGAAAAATCTTGTTAACACTCTATTTGCTACTGTTTTAATCCAAATATCCTTGAAATTGGTCTGAAAGTTTGTTTTGGTGATTTCTAGGTCAAGTTCGATTATGTGTCACCTTGGGTCAAAAACTAGGTCACACCACCCATATATGGAAAAACCTTGGCAACACTATCGAATATAGGTCTTCTGGGGTCAAAAACTAGGTCACACCGCCCAAATATGGAAAAACCTTAACACTTTAGTGGTCACATTTTTGACTCAATTGTCATCAAACTTGGTCAGGATGCAGGTGAGGTATAGTGATGGAGCTATGTCCGTCGTTGTGCGTCGTTCGTTGTCAACCATTGGGTTGTTAACAGTCTAGCAGTCACAGTTTTGATTGGAAAATAGGAATGCTTGTTAACACTCTAGTGGCTGCAGTTTTGATCCAAATATTCTGAAAATTAGTCAGGAAGGTAGTTTTGATGATTTCTAGGTCAAGTTCTAAGATGGGTCATCTCCGGTCAAACACTAGGTCACAGGTGCTTAAAATAGAAAAAGCTTGTTAACACTCTTAGTGACTGCAGTTTTGATCCAAATATTCTTGAAATTTGTCAGGAAGGTTGTTTTGATGATTTCTAGGTCAAGTTTGAAGATTGGTCATGTCCGGTCAAAAACAAGGTCACAGGAGCTAAAAATAGAAAAATCTTGTTAACACTCTAGTGGCTGCAGTTTTGATCCAAATATTCTGGAAATTTGTCAGGAAGGTTGTTTTGATGATTTCTAGGTCAAGTTCGAAGATGGGTCATCTCCGGTCAAACACTAGGTCACAGGAGCTAAAAATAGAAAAAGCTTGTTAACACTCTTAGTGACTGCAGTTTTGATCCAAATATTCTGGAAATTTGTCAGGAAGGTTGTTTTGATGATTTCTAGGTCAAGTTCGAAGATGGGTAATGTCAGGTCAAAAACTAGGTCTCAGGAGCTAAAAATAGAAAAAGCTTGTTAACACTCTAGTGGCTGCAGTTTTGATTCAAATTTCCTGGAAATTGGTCAGGAAGGTTGTTTGATGATTTCTAGATGGGTTGTCTCATGTCAAAAACTAGGTCACATTGCCCAAATATGGAAAAACCTTTTTAACACACTAGAAGTCACATTTTTGACTCAATTTTCATCAGACTTGGCCAGGATGCTTGTCTAAGACATTGCTTGGATGTGGTTGATGGGTCAGGGGACCGATCCAGGGCCATCATGGCCCTCTTGTTTTTAAAAAGTCGAGCTAAAAAGGCTAAGTATTCTAAAATTATTTAACAGAAAATCCTGATTCTTGTACTGAGGAGACCTATCCAGCTGTGATGTTTCATGTTGAAACAACCTTCAGTCATTGGATTTATTCTCCGAACAAAACAGGCATGTAAATTACAAAGGGCAATAACTCTAAAAATATCTAATGTACCACTTAAAACCATGCCGCTGCCACGGTCCTGACTTTGCTTTTCAAAATGGTTGCCTCTTGGATATATCTATATATATTCTGTGGTCCCCTGAATATTTGAATATTGTTATTAGGGGTGTTTACTGTTCCAGTAAAACTATTCACAACCTTGTTTTGCTAAGGCTGTAATAATAATAAGCAAATAATACAGAAGAATAAAAACCAGTTACAAAACTTTAGCTTTTTATTTACTGTTACAAAAGTATGTAAAGTTAACAGTATTAAATTGGTTTTTTTTCAAATCTTAACAATAAACAACTGTTCAAATATATTTATGTATAAAAAATTTCAATGACTGCATAAATTTTTACATTTTACAACATGCATATAAATGGCACATAAAACAATCAAGCACTTACAAAACAAAGAAAGACAGTTCATTCCAAGAAGTGCATAAAATACAAAAACATGTTTTGACAATCAGGGAATCATTTCTTGAAATTTAATAAAATGAAGTAAATGTCTTTGTGATTTAAAAATTGTCACCTTAAATGAACATTAATTTTGTTACAAAAGTAAAAAAGTATCAATACTAAACAACACTTCCTATACTGCTAGGACACGAGTAGATGGCACACTTTTGTCCTTGACTTTACATTACAGTCTATAAGAAAGCAGCACAATGACTTATCTATTTTACCAGCTATCAGCAAGACCCACCTATGTTGACCATTCATGCAGTCTGCAAGACTAGATATTTCTTTGTTGTTTCATCTAGAGCTGGAAATATCCCCAACTAGTCTCATTCTAAACAACATTTCTTTCCAACTTTGTAGTGTATTGATAGACCCTTACACAGGTCTTTTATTAATAACAATTTTGAATGAAAATAACTTTGTAACAATCATTTGGTAGCTTTCATGTATGTTAATAATTCAAAAAATGTTTGCTCTGAATAACTGAACTCTTTGATGGATGAAAATGAGTTTTCAAAATGAAAAAAAAATAAAAAAAAGGATGTGCTCATCTTAAAATAAACATTTAGGGCATTAACTTTATTTATGATTCAATAATTCCTGCTTTACTCAATTACTTGGTTAAAGACTTGTATTGGAAAGCTATGTCATATTATATATATATATGTAGTAAAAGCAAATGATAACTATGGCTAAATTGATAAAGGATTGAGGCAAACACTATATTGCTTATTGCCCATAAAAAATGAAACATTTATGCATCATCTATTTCAGCATAAAAAGGGTATACAGCTATTGTGGGCTGTTTGTAATTTGGAAAATGTTAGTATATATATCTTATTCAAAATCATACTAAAGTACCAAAATCTGAAGAAAACTTTTTGTAAATTTCTGATTTTGCAGATTTGGCATAAGCTAAAACCTTCTGTAAGTATCAGATGAATATCTTATTACAGAAAAACTAGAACTATCACAAAATGTGATTAATACCCCCACAAGACTGCTTTGGAAATGAGGATGTTACTAGTAACAGAATACCTTGTAAAAGAATTGAAATATAGAGTTATGGTTGTGGGCAATTAAAGATAGTTGTGGTTCTTGTATGTTGCATTTCCTTTCAATGTGGTTGGCCATTGATGAAGTTTTATTGAATTACTCTGTAATAAGTCCAGAAGACAAGGAAAAGAAACAAAGGGCAATAACTCTACAAATACTGAAGATGGAGTTATAGTTCTTGTGCACTGCACTTCCTCTAATTATGCTTGACCATTGTATGAAGTTGTTTTGAATTCCAACCAGTACGTTTTAAGTTATGCTCTGGACAAGGAAAAGTATCAAAGGGCAGTAACTCTGTATTTTGTCAAGATGGAGTTATGGTTCTTGTGCACTGCACTTCCTCTCAAAGTGCTTGACCATTGTATGAAGTTATATTGAATTCCAACCATTAGTCTTCAAGTTATGGTCGGGACAAAAGAAAGCAATGGAAAAGTAACAAAGGGCAATAACTCTGTAAATAGTCAAGATGGAGTTATAGTTCTTGTGCACTGCACTTCCCCTTATTGTGTTTGACAATTGTGTGAAGTTGTTTTGAATTCCAACCAGTAGTTTTCAAGTTATTCCCCGGACAAGGAAAAGTAACAAAGGGCAATAACTCTGTAATTAGTCAAGCTAGAGTTATGGTTCTTGTGCACTGCACTTCCTCTCAATGTGCTTGACCATTGTGTGTAGTAATATTGAATTCCAACCATTAGTCTTCAAGTTATGGTCCGGACAAAAGAAAGAAATGGAAAAGTAACAAAGGACAATAACTCTGTAATTACTTTAGATAGAGTTATGGTTCTTGTGCACTGCACTTCCCCATATTATGTTTGACAATTGTATGAAGTTGTTTTGAATTCCAACCAGAAGTTTTCAAGTTATGCCCCGGACAAGGAAAAGTAACAAAGGGCAATAACTCTGTAATTAGTCAAGCTAGAGTTATGGTTCTTGTGCACTGCACTTCCTCTCAATGTGCTTGACCATTGTGTGTAGTTATATTGAATTCCAACCATTAGTCTTCAAGTTATGGTCCGGACAAAAGAAAGGAATGGAAAAGTAACAAAGGGCAATAACTCTGTAATTACTTTAGATAGAGTTATGGTTCTTGTGCACTGCACTTCCCCTTATTGTGTTTGACAATTGTATGAAGTTGTTTTGAATTCCAACCAGTAGTTTTCAAGTTATGCCCCAGACAAGGAAAAGTAACAAAGGGCAATAACTCTGTAATTAGTCAAGATAGAGTTATGGTTCTTGTGCACTGCACTTCCTCTCAATGTGCTTGACAATTGTGTGTAGTTATATTGAATTCCAACTATTAGTCTTTAAGTTATGCTCCGGACAAGGAAAATGCAACGGACGTCTGGACCGACCGACCGACCGCCCGACCAACCGACCACCGGGTGACTCCTATATACCCCCCCAAACTTCGTTTTTGGGGGTATAATAATTATTCGATTTCCTATATATATATTAATTCGTGTGCTAAAAAAGACAATTTTTTTTGTAAAATAAAGTGTTCAAAATTGATCCCCATAACGTTACATGCACAGCATAAACAGTTTTCGAAAATTTAATAGTACATTTTTCCCAGTAAATAGCTATACACCTTTTAAAGAAAAAAGGTCTTTCAAAGGTGAATCCTGAATCAAAAATGATCATAAGCAGAAATTCTTTAGCCATAGGAAAGTTATCTACATGTATAATGTACACATGCAGTATTATGCCTAAAACTGACAATGATGAAGGTCACTAACATATACAACGATTAAAATGTTCACAAGGTGCTTTGTAAAAATAAATCTGTAACAAATAAAAAAGTGTACTGGCTAAAATATCAACATTCTTATCACATGTTTACAGGTGAACCAAAAATATACAAAATACTGTTTATTTCATGAACAAAAATATCACAAAAATAGCAAAATAATTATATAATAACCAGATCTATATAGAACATGTACATTCCTTCAAAGGCTCGAGTATAAATCTTATGAACTCAACTGAACAATTAAATGTTTCTGGTAAAAAGCTATAAAAAAAGTCTGACTTTTTATATGTAAAAACTTCAAACCTAAATCCATATAAATCTTGACAATTTCAATGCCTTTTCTGTTCAAGGTCATTTATTCAGTCTGTGTTAAATTCAAGGTCAAGTCTTCCGATTATGTTGTATTCAAAGTTATTCCTTAAGTCTGTTATATTCGAGGCCAATTCTTCAGTAGTAGTATATTCAAATTTAATTCTGGAGTCATTTTATATTCAAGGTCTGAGTTATATTCAATTTCAATTCTTAAGTCTATGTTAAATTAAAGTCAATTATTATGTTGCCTGTTATATATTCAAGGTCAATGATTTAGTATCTATTATATTCAAGGTCAATTCTTAAATCTATGTTAAATTCAAAGTCAATTATTCAGTTGCCTGTTATATATTCAAGGTCAATTATTTAGTATCTATTATATTCAAGGTCAATTCTTAAGTCTATGTTAAATTCAAAGTCAATTATTCAGTTGCCTGTTATATATTCAAGATCAATGATTTAGTATCTATTATATTCAAGGTCAATTCTTAAGTCTATGTTAAATTCAAGGTCAATTATTCAGTCATCTGTTATATTTAAGGTCAATTATTCAGTCATCCGTTATATTCAAGGTCAATTCTTTAGTACTTAATATATTCAAGGTCAATTTAAGATCAAATCTTCAAAAACAATCCATATTATTGTAAGCTAACCCACATTATATCAAACAATAGATCTACATTTTCAAGGTTTAAAAACTTTTCAGGCATTCCCTTCACTTTTATTCAAGGTCAAACCTTCATATGCGTATCTCACATCAAATTTTATTATTTCCAGACAAAAATCAAAACCTGAATTCATCCTTTATTAACAAGGTCAAACCCTTTCCTGCCTTTCCAATGTTCTACTTGTAAAGCAAATCATCAAAATGACAATCTCTAACACTTTCTTATGTTTTTCTGATCTAGTTAAATGTTTAAAAATATGATTCAGCACTGAGATTATTTGAGCCGCATCATGACAAAATCAACATAATGGGTTTGCGACCAGCATGGATCCAGACCAGCCTGCGCATCCGCGCAGTCAGATCAGGATCCATGCTGTTTGCTATCAATTTCTTGTCTTGTTAGATGGCTCGTAAGCGAACAGCATAGATCCTGATCAGACTGCGCGGATGCACAGGCTAGTCTGGATACATGCTGGTCGCAAACCCATTATTGTGGTTTTGTCGTGACGCAGCTCACTATAAATTAGCTTCACATAACAGAAGGAAAATACTCACAACAATATCAATTATCAAAACTTTATGCATCATATTTAACTAACTTTGACTTTGGTAAATAAAATTTGTAAAATATTTCTTATAAAACGTAAACAAGAGAAAACAAATATTTGTAAAAAGAATTGATAAAAATTTAAGTATAACAAAGTTATGAAACTGATTATTCTTTTCAGTTTATATTTTTTTCTTGATATAATTAACAAAAAGTGGTCAATATATGGAAAAACAGCCCATACTGCGTAACACAGTAGAAATATGGTGATAAAAATTGCAAATTCAGTCTTAAAACCACATATAACATGTAAAATATAACTTGGATCTTAAATGTTTTTATCTTTCTTAAAAGTTAAGTGCATTTCAATATTGATTTTCTTGAAACATTTTGGGCTCATCTGGAGGCATGCAGCTTTAAATACATTGCCCCCTCTGTATGAAATAAGTAATTGTTTAGAATCATACAGTAGTACCACACTATTGATATCTTACTTGTCTTAAAGAGACTTAATTTCTATGAAAAAAAATATATAACCTTTATAGTACTCCACTTTTTTCACATGACAGGACTGGTGGAAATATTTTGTCCCAGATTTGTGTACAATTTGACTTGTAGACATGCAAGATTTCAACTCATTTACTCACATCATTTTTTCTTTTTTTCAGAATAATAATTTTAATTGTACTTTTAACTTAAAACACTAAATCTTTCACAATAATTTTACTTTCAAATTAATGCCAAGAATATTTTTCTATAAATTTTAGCATACTATTTTTCTTTAAATGCCCAAGTTGATCTATGTAAGAATTTCTAATTTTATATGTTTAAAGCTTTTGGACCTCAGTAGAGTCCATTAATTGTAAAAAAAAATAAATGAGCCGCGTCACGAAAAAACCAACATAATGGGTTTGCGACCAGCATGGATCCAGACCAGCCTGCGCACCCGCGCAGTCTGATCAGGATCCATGCTTTTCGCTATCAGTTTCTCTACCTGTAATAGGGTTTGTAAGCGAACAGCATGGACCCTGATCAGACTGCGCGGATGCGCAGGCTGGTCTGGATCCATGCTGGTCACAAACCCATTACGTTGGTTTTGTCGTGACACGGCTCAAATACATGTATTGATATCAAGCAACATTTATGGATAAATATAAAAGACTATCTGAATACTTTGTAGTGAACTCAATTTGCTGAATACAATTTCCTTTGAATACAAATTCTTTTTAAAACTATTTCACACTAACCCAATGTTTCACTAATATAGGGTGTTATACCTTTCTCAATTAAAATTATATTTTTTGTGCCTAAGAATGGTATTACTATAAAGTTCATAATTATGCTAACCTTCCAGTGGCCGTTTGTGAATTATTTAGTGCAGGTGTTAAGCACCCGAGTAGAACCTAATTAGATATATTTAAAAAGTATACCATGTCACAGGCAGGATTCTTACAGACAGTAGTTTGGGAACAAGTGATTTGAAATTTATGTTCTAAATCACTTGCTCACATAAGCCATCAGCTCTCAAAATTACCTCAGATATACTTCAAATTATAAAAAAAAACATGACTGAACTTTTTTTGGTTGTGTTTTAAGCCAGATCAACACTGTTATAGCCATATGAATACACTGCAGCTTTGACTGACGGAGAAAGACCAAGGTAAAAACACATTCTTATTGCTTTACATCAGGCACAACAGAGTACCTAGGTAGAACCATTGAATACAGCAAATATGGTTAACTTGCATTTCTGCTGAAATCTGAACTAAAAAGTAAAAGATGATTGCTTTGAACAAAAAGAACACCTAGTATTGTTTCATTTTCATACAGCACTTTCCATTGACACTTTTTTCCCAGATCTATAATTATCTAACATAGCAGAGCTTGCATCTTCTAAATTCCATCTTGTGTCAACAAGAAGTCCTATGACAGTAATCCCTAGGTGCCAGACCTAGTCGGAATAATTGTTCAATTTTCAGGTGCTTTATTGCTTTTTTCAACATGACCGTTACAGTGACAGAGTGCTGCATGACACTCTTCATCAGTAAGTCCAATTACAGCTTCCTGTAAAGCTGTAATTTTTTCACGTCGCCAGTTACCATCAGACGCAGTAATATCAGGGTTGTGTGAGTAAGATCTTTTATATTGATTATGTCTATTAGCATTTGGGTATGACTGTGTGACATCGATATTCTGATTTGACCACGAATGATCGCGACTGGAACTATGTTTTGATCTGCTGAACAAATCCTCAGAAGATCGTGTGGTTTTTTCGGTTCTTGACAAAATTTCTCGCGGTAAAACTTGTAGTGTTTCAAAATTTTGATAATCATGAAGAGAGGCGGCACTTTGCTCATCTTGCGATATTTGATTGCCATCAATGGAAAATGGACGAACTTCTGCTGTGGTTCGTCTGGTATTGCTAGGACAGTCTTCTTCGCCCTTTGCTGGAATGAGAAAATAATGTGTGTGACTTAACTGGTGGCCATCTTGAACAATAGGAAAAATGTTTGGCTTTTTTATCTCTTTCACTTACTGTGATCAGAATGCCACCATGTCCTTGACTACTGTAGTCACGAGGAGGAAGTGGCGGAGGAGAGGTGCGCATTCCATTTCCTGCCACCGCTCCTCGAACAGTTTGCTCATCTTCGTCATCGAAATCAGAATCAAAATCATCCCAGTCAGAATAAGTGGATGTAGTGCTCTGAGGCGAATAAATATCTTTTGGTATAGGTAACTTAACGTCGTTCGGATCATCAAACCTTGGAACTTCATCATATTTCGGAATGAATTTTGGTCGCTCATTATTTAGAACACCATCTTCCATTGGAACTTCGCAATACTGAACTGGATATTGTCCCCTTGCAGACGACATATGAGGATTTGCAGACGACATTGGTTGATATGCTTTAGGCCTTACAGATGGGCTATATAACTGTGTTTCATCTGGCACTTGGTCATAAAAAGGTCTATCAGATTTCCCTGATAAAGTCGGGTCAGAACCAGCTTTCCCAGCTTTATTTAAAGAGAAGTTATTTATAGCATCATTCAACCAATCAAATGCTTTATCAACCTTTTTTAACTGCTGAGGTGTGTCATCAGCCTCACTTTGACACGGAACATTTTGATTTTTTAACAAATTCTTGCTAGCGAAATTTGTCTTTCCTTTAGAAAACAACTCTTCAAGAACAGCTTTTGTAGACTGGGTTTTTGTCGGAGTTGACGGAATATTAGGACTGGTACTCGCTGAGCGAACTTTCCTGTCTCGATTTTCAACTTTCGGTGCCGGAGCGTATGCGGAATGAACACTACCAGCATCAGGAGAAGCTGTATTGTCACGTTTTTTATATTCTGGTGGTAACTTAATACCTGTACATTTCGGTGGTGAAAAACTTTGCCAGCTATCTTGACTATGTTGACTGTCTATTGAAGTTGTCCGTCTGTACACTATAGGTTTTGATCGAGGCGGAGTTTGCCGTATTTTATTATTGTCATCCGAGGATTTTATTGACCTACTATATAAACTAGCTGCATCGATTTCAAAAGGGTCTTGTTGGGAGCCAGACTCCCTTATCAGGGGCTGTGGGAGACTTAAGTTCCCGTACTGAGATGATGTCCCAGTTAATAAGCTGTCAAAAAGGGAGGAAATCTCACTTGGGGTAGTGGTTTTATTAGAGTTATTTGCCCCTGACCCTCCATCAGTGTCGTCACTTAGATCTATTAGAGGTTTCTCATTGCTCTCTTTACGGTAAACTTTAGTATGTCCAGAGGTCATAGGCCATGACCTCTCAAGGTCACGAATATCTTGATTTGCATTGGAATTTTTTTGTGATCTAGCATACACAGGTTCGTCTCCACTGTTAGGTTCATTCTGAAACTTGGAATAGTTGAATTGCCGACTAGAAGCATACCCAAATGGTTCTGAAACAGAAATAGATTTAAACAAAGTGGTTCATAAGGCAACTTTCATTTAACATCAGTCACAGTCCCAAAAATTTTATTTTCTAGGAAACTTCTACAAATGTTCAATAAAAGCACAGCATTTATTGGTAAACCGTATGATGCAATTGTAAAATAAAGTATGTGATAGTAAACATTCTTACTTTTAAGTTTTTCCGTATGTATATCTTCAGGAGAATCTGGGGGCGGGGCTTGTCCATGTAGATCAGGAGGCTCCATGGGGTTACGTAAATATACCCTGAAATTCAACATACCTTGTCAATGCAGTATAGAGAAAAATTAATTATATCCAAAACTCATGCATTGCAATCAATGCTACCGTATAAGTACTATTTTCTGCGGGTACTTTATTTCTGCTATTTCTGCGGTTAAAAACAACACCGCAGATTTAAAAACAGCAGAAAATTAAGCCTTTGCGTATTTTTACGTCGAAATATGTCAACAACCGATATTGTATATTAAGTACATTACCATGTACCGTTAGAAAACAAGAGCGATCAGTAATCACATACATGTGTCGCCTCATGATGGCCAATTTCATGTTGGGACAAATTTTGTGACAGACGGACAGACAGACAGACAGTGCACAACTAGACTGGGTACTGATCATTCCTGTAAAGTTTGGATGAAATTGCACCAGTAGTTTATGAGGTGTAGTCCGGACAAGCTTTTGCCTATCTGGCAACACACAGAAAAAACACCTTTTTATCAAAGGGCCATAACTCTGCCAAAAAATCATTCAACCGGAAAACCCGTGCAATATGCCCAAGGACTTGAGCTACAGATCAATCCTGTAAAGTTTCATTGAAATTGCATTAGTGGTATAAGAGAAGTAGTCCGGACAAACTTTAAAAATAACAAGAGCCACCGCCGGGCGGGGGCAACGCTCGACTTTTTACTTTTTCTAAAAGCAAACATAGAAAGGTTTGAACATATCTTAACGTTTCCTTTTTATAAATTTAGTTGGTCTGTCTTGTCACATGAATAGAAACACCCAAATCTATAAATAGCAACACGCAATTCTATAAATAGCAACACGCAATTCTATAAATAGCAACACGCAATGCTATAAATAGAAACACGCAATTCTAAAAATAGAAACACGCAATTCTAAAAATAGTAACAGGCAATTCTAAAAATAGTAACACGCAATTCTAAAAATAGAAACACGCAATTCTAAAAATAGTAACCCGCAATATACGTTGTTGTTGTTGTTGTTGATGATGATATATATATACACACACACACACACACACACACACCAATAAATACATAATTATTGTCATTTAATGCACAAATGTAAGAAAAATTCAGTAATTTAACCTTCAAGGTCAAGGTCATTAAAGAGCCCAAGCAAATTTGGGTTTGATTAACAACAAGGTCTGGTCCTTGAGAATGTTCTGTTAAAATATGAAGTTGGTCCCTTCAATAATAGCAAAGTTACAGTCAGTTACAGGCAAAACAATAAAAATTTCAATAATTTGACCTTCAAAGACAATGCCATTAATGAGTGAAGGTCAAGGTCTGTTGGGTTATTTTTAAGAGTTATCCTTGAAGATTATCACGTTTAAGTTTCAAGACAATCCAATCAAAAATAACAAAGTTACAGCCAATAATAGCCAAAGAAAATGAATATTTCAATAATTTGACCTTCAAAGTCAAGGTCATTTATGAGTGAAGGTCAATGTTTGTATGGTTATTTTTAAGGAATATCCTTGAAGATTATTTTGTTCAAGTTTCAAGACAATCCATTCAAAAATAACAAAGTTACAGCCAATAATAGCCAAAACAAGAGCTGTCTGTAGGACAGCACGCTCGACTATTCTAAGTGCTTGATAGTAAAAGAGCCTTGATAATGTTGAATTTTTTAAGTTCACAAAAGGGCTATTTTTTTTTTATAAATTCATGTTATATGCCTTAGAGAGAGTCTAATTATACAGAATTGGCTTGACTATTCGGAAGGTAATGTCACAAGGTTTTTTTTTATTGAGTATAATAATACTAATTATCTATGAATACATAAATTTGACAGAAAAGGTAGAAAAGCTTGTTATTAAGATGTTTTATCAAGTAAATCACTGTTTTATTATTATGAATGCATAAAGTTGTCCCAAAAAAGGCACAAACCCTTCAGTAGTTAACTTATTGAGATAACAGCTTACAAGCAAAACTTTACCATGAATTTCTAAGTTGAAAAAGGGGAGAAAAATCAGCCTAAATGCAAGATAGAATTATGGATCTTTGTCAGTGACCTAAAATTATGACCCTAAATGCATATGTGAAGTTTAAATAAATATCTTTAATAGTTATTGAGATATGTAAAACTTGCATGTAAACATTAACCAAGAGACTAAGTAGAAAAGGGGATATGAATCAGCCTTAATGCAAGATAGAGTTATGGAACTTGGTCAGTGACATACAATTATGACCCTCCAATTATGACCCTAAGTGCATGTGTAAAGTTTCAAGTAAATATCTTTGAAGACCTTTAACCTTTAACCAAAATTTCTAAGTTTCAAAGGGGCAAATAATTATGCAAATATTGCAGACAGAGTTATGCAATTTTGCAAACTGATGTACATTGTTACTATAAATAAGTATTTTAAATTTCAATTGAATATCTCAAGCAATAATTGAGATATTTGACTTTACAAAAAAACTTTAACCAAAATTTCTAAGTTCCAAAGGGACATAATTCTGTCAATATGGTAGACAGAGTTATCATACTTGTCAATCTGATGTACATTGTTACTATAAATAAGTATTGTAAGTTTCAATTGAATATCTCAAGCAATAATTGAGATATTTGACTTTACAAAAAACTTTAACCAAAATTTCTAAGTTAAAAAGGGGCATAATTCTGTAAATATTGTAGGCAGAGTTATCCAACTTGTCAATCTGATGTACATTGTTACTATAAATAAGTATTGTAAGTTTCAATTGAATATCTCAAGCAATAATTGAGATATTTGACTTTACAAAAAACTTTAACCAAAATTTCTAAGTTAAAAAGGGGCATAATTCTGTCAATATTGTAGGCAGAGTTATCCAACTTGTCAATCTGATGTACCTTGTTACTATAAATAAGTATTGTAAGTTTCAATTGAATATCTCAAGCAATAATTGAGATATTTGACTTTACAAAAAGCTTTAACCAAAATTTCTAAGTTAAAAAGGGGCATAATTCTGTCAATATTGTAGGCAGAGTTATCCAACTTGTCAATCTGATGTACCTTGTTACTATAAATAAGTATTGTAAGTTTCAATTGAATATCTCAAGTAATAATTGAGATATTTGACTTTACAAAAAACTTTAACCAACGCAGACGCCGACGCGGACGCCGGGGCGACTACAATAGCTCTCATATTCTTCGAATAGTCGAGCTAAAAATGAATATTTCAATAATTTGACCTTCAAAGTCAAGGTCATTTATGAGTGAAGGTCAAGGTCTGTCAGGTTATTTTTAAGGGATATATTTGAAGATTATTATGTTTAAGTTTGAAGACAATCCATTCAAAAATAACAAAGTTACAGCCAATAACAGCATGAACAAGCAAAATTTGGACTTTTAACCTTGAAGGTCATTTATGGATGAAGGTCAATGTGGTCTACTGAAAGGTCTTGTCCCAAGGGTTGTTGTGGCCAAGTATGAAGACAATACATCAAGAAATAAAAAAGTTATGATCCAGTACAAGTTTGCGGACAGCAACGGCAACGGCACGGCAACGGCTACGGCAACGGCAACGGCTACGGCAACGCCGCCGCGACTATAACAATACCTCTACTTTTTTTTTTCAAAAAAAAAAAGTAGAGCTAAAAATTATTAAAGGGCCATAACTCTGACAAAAATCACTGAACCAGATAATGCTGACAATAAGCACAACTAGACTTGGTACTGATCATTCCTGTAAAGTTTGGATGAAATTGCACCAGTAGTTTATGAGTAGTAGTCCGGACAAGTTTTGTGACGGACGGACGGACAGACGGATGGACAGACGACAGAGAAGTGATCCCTATATGTCCCCACTACTCCGTAGAGGCGACACAAAAATGTTACTTTGCTTGTTCTCTTTGTTTAAATACTTATTATGTTTGTATGATTTTCGCTCACACTTAGCTAGTTGTGCAATATACATACCCTATTGTATTTGTACAATATCTTGTGTCTACGTGCGATTTTGCCATTGTTTATTATTCACACTTCATATATATGCACGTACAGTAATAGAATTTTGTCATTGCACGTTTAGTAACATACATATACCAATACATGTTGATTACATGTTAACCGGAAGTATTGTAAATGTTACATCAACAAATCTTGAAATGTTGTCTGATTGTGTAATTTTATTTTGTAAAAATATATTAATTAAAATGCAGAAATAAAAAGCATCAATGCCAGAATGATGACACCACAGAAATAAGATATGCAGAAATTTAAAACCCTTTATTTTAACAAAAATCGCAAAATATTAAGCCCGCAGAAATAAGTACTTATACGGTATTACTTAACCATTTGCCCCTCACCGCTGTGAGTTCGAATCCCAACAGGGACTTTGGATTCTTTCATGTGAGGAAGCTATTAGCTAGCTTACGGAACGTCAGTGGTTCTACTCAGGTGCCCGTTCGTGCCTTAAGAAGTGCCCGGGAGGGCACCTGAGGTCTTCCTCCACATGTTAAGTTGGAACATCGCCGAATGACCTATACTGTGTGGGTGTGAAGTAAAACCCAACAAACAGACTATATACACTTTATGTTGTTACTTCATAGACAAGAGCTGTCAGTAAAACAGCACACTCAACTATTCCCAGTGCTTGACAGTAACTGTAAGAAAAGGGGCATTATTCTGTAGAAAGGTAACTCATGAGTTATGGGACCTATGGCCATCATGTTAGATAACAGATAACAAGTGGTGAAGTTTAAATCCATTCACTTCCCTTTTGAAGGTAGCAACTTTCATCCATAAAGTGCGAGGGTGATTACAATAACTCGCCTTATTTTTCGAAAAGACAAGCTAAAATAGATTATCAACAAAAAAAACATCTATTAATTACAAAAATTAGCCATACTCATCAATATATTCAGCATTTCCCCATGACTTCCCTCCAGGGTCCCCATGACCAGTATGTATAAAACTATTCTTTAATGGTTTACTAATATCTGTCGCACAACGTCGCCGCTGAGTATTCACAATGTGACGAGGGAATTGGCCGACTAAATGTGTTCGCTTGTTCTGACCTTTCCACCAGTAACAATCTGGTCTATAGTAATACAAAATATAAACATTATATATACAGAATAATCACATAAACCATTATACAGGAGTGTAACAAATCAATTTGATAAAACAATATAACACTAGTGTAATAACACTTTGACATGGCATCATTTGTGTTGTATACAAAAATAAGCACGCTAGCATTACACTACAGGCACATCAATGAAAAATGACTCTTTTTTTAACAGGAAACTGTTCTTATTTTAGATATGCGATAAAAAGAATACTATATACATGTAGATTCAATTCTAAATTTATTGAACTTTCTGCCAGAGCCTCGCATAATATGATTTTATTGACTTGTTCAAAAGAGTTAGTACTAAATCTACATTTATTCAATATCCTCTATTGAAAAAATCCAAACAAGATTTTTATGAACTTGTTATATGTCTTACTTTCACACACAGTCTGCGAAATAAGGCACATGCCCAAAGCGTGTATAATCCCATTCAGGTCTGCAAAAATTTCAAAGATCATAAGCCCGACGGGCCTTTAAATACAGAATGTGTTTTTTCATATAAAATTAGTTTCAATTTCAATATTTTTCCGAAATTGTGTAATACGTCATCAGTCTATGTTCACCAAGTAAGATTTGCGTAATACGTCATTCAATGATGCATAATCTATATTTATCGTCTTCAGCGATTGATTAGCGTAAATATACTGACAATGCTCGAGTATAATCGTAAATGTTTGTTAGTTAAACAGCAAAATATCGAAAATTTCCGTTAGAATACATTTATTTTTAGATTGACCCATTTAGATTTAAAAAAACAAACATGAATCAGCTATATTACACGTCTGAAGCGAAACCGGGAAACATTGAATGCAACAATGCAACGCTTGCTTTGTTGTTATTCGTTTTCATATTTCAAACAAATAAAGTGGAAAGCAGTAGATTGACAAGTAATGATGAATAGTATATAACAACAGAAAGGAAAACTGGCAGACTTTCCATGCATTTGTGCCTGAATTGAATCTTGTTGTTGTAAATAAAACTGTTGTTTTTATTTTGCAGAATAAATTTTAAAATGTTTTGGGCCTATGATTATCTGTCCGGGCCTATACTTTTGCCTAAGTTAAAGGCCCAAATTGCCTATGATCTAAAAAAGTTATTTCGCAGACTGCACACATAATCAAAACATCATTATATTGCTACAACATTAAACATTTAAATTACTTTAGGTAATCTGTTTCTAAAACATTTTGTAAATAAAATCAAAGCATGAGTTACCTCCCCTCAATCACAGTCACATGATCTCCCTCCTCTACAAACAGTTTACCGTCTTCACTGAAACTCTGTTGTGCTTTGACATCCATTGGACGTACCTAAAATATTAATACATCATTAATAATACGTCATCAATACATGATGATGATCAGTCAAGGGAGTCTCACCTTCAGATGAGAATAAAACCAATGTACCTATCGTCTTGCAATGAAAATATTCTTTTCCACTTAATTATCACAAAAGCCAGGTCCATAGACTTAGATTTTCACCTCATCATTATACAATAATTGTACCCTGATGGTATGAGAAATGTTTATTGGTCAAGGAAATACTTCTGTTTTCTATGTACTTGTTTTGACATGTTTCAAATTAAAATCTAATTAAACGAATCAATAACAAAAATGCACATACCGGCCATTTTTATACAAAATTAGGACCCCTGTCTTACAAGCAATCCGTCTTAAAAGTGAGTAAATGTGGTATTTAGATTAACATGACAAATTTATGTCAAAAGTATACAAAATTTTCACTTTTAATCTGAATATGTGTATCATAAAAGAAAAAAGGTTCTAGAATAAATTATGAAAATTGGTGCTTGTCATTTCAGTGAAATGCCTGAAAGCATTGCATGCCTTATAATGACAAAGATTCTATGAAAAATAGTCATAGAAAAAAGGGTTTTCCTTTGCTTTAGGCTGGATCAACTAATGAAAGAGGTTTGAAATAATGTCAGGTACAGATAAAGATGCTTGGAAACTTTACTTGTATGAAAGGGAAATCATATGTTTTACAGACAATGGAAACAGACAAAGGGTTTAACAATTTAAAGAAAAGGGTGTAACTTAGCTTTGGGGTGTAAGGAGTAGATGCAAAAAGAGAGAAAAGAATGTTATTTATAGAGTAAGGATGATGCATGGATAAAGTTTCTGTGGATTTCAACATATTCAATAAATCTGAAATTCCATCACAAAATCTATATATTTTAGTTGTTTAATGATAAAAATATTTTCCTATCTCATCAATGAGAAGTATTGTTTTAAAAAAGTATTCCATTTCAACAGGTGCAACACTGCACAACGTGTTCTAAAATTTTTAATGAATCCTTTGATAATGCAAAATGACATTTGAGACACTGTTATTGTATCTAACATCTACATATGTATATATAAACTGCCTGTTTGTAACATATGTGTAACATTGATTGGTAAACCATGATGTTTTTAAACTATACATATTTATATATATTCTATAAATACATGTAATAATTCTTTTTCAATCAAAAATCAAAGGAAGCAATTAGTCAGTATTATGAATTTATTATAAAGATAACAGTCAGGTTGTATGGCTGTTTATAATACTGCATGTTTGCAACATCACTTTTCATTGGATAATGGTGAGGTTTATATAATCTATATACACAGATGTTGTCAAGTTATGACAAAAAATCCCTTTTTTCTCTCTACAAAAAGGAGGTTTGTTGTATTTTAAATTTGTTATAAATATTCCTTGCAGGTAATATGACCGTATATAAAAGGTTGTTTGCTATATAAACCAAACCTAGCCACTGGGGTTATATATACACAACTGTTTATATAAAGCCATATAACCTGTCAAAAATCTTTATAACTTATTATATAAACAGATGTTTCCTATATAACCCCTGAATAGTCAGTCTGGTTATATTACCTTACAACCATTAATAATGGGTCATATAACCTGTCAAAATTCTTTATAAAGTAAAATCATAATGTCTGGAAACAAACATTTGATGAACTTTGAACAACTGGCTAACATAGCAATGGGTGAATATCATTTTTGTCTGGTGATATCATGCAGTCTACAGACATGCTGCAGTGAAGATTAGGCTCCTATTGGCTCATGAATAAATTAGGAAACAGTGTTTACCTTTAATTTTCCTTCAGTCTGATAGCAATAATATAAAAATGAATTTTGCAAGTTTTTTAATAACATGCATTCCATTTTTTTATACTACATATCTTATATATATAATAATTTAACATGACTTTTAACAAAAAACACTCAATTAAAGACTTCAAAATGATTATTTTAAGACTGAAAAATTAATTTAACAGACAAAAAGTTTAGGGAAAACAAGAGCTGTAGGTGGGATAACATGCTCGACTTTTCTCAGTGCTTGATAGTAAAACAAGAGCCTGGATAACATAAATAATTTTAAGTTCAACAAGAGCTGTCGGTAGGACAGCAACGCTCGACTATTCTTAGTGCTTGATAGTAAAAAAACTGCTTGATAGAGTTACCTCCTCCTGTTTACAGGTTGGGGTCATGATGGTGAACAAGTGTGCAAAGTTTCAAAGCCATATGTCAATGGACTTTGAAAATATTTGAACTATTACAAAAACTTTAACGTAAATTCTAAGTCGAAAAAGGGGCATAATTCTGTCAAAATGCTTGATAGAGTTACCTCCTCCTGTTTACAGGTTGGGGTCATGATGGTGAAGAAGTGTGCAAAGTTTCAAAGCCATATGTCAATGGACTTTGAAAATATTAAAACTATTACAAAAACTTTAACGTAAATTCTAAGTCGAAAAAGGGGCATAATTCTGTCAAAATGCTTGATAGAGTTACCTCCTCCTGTTTCCAGGTTGGGGTCATGATGGTGAACAAGTGTGTAAAGTTTCAAAGCCATATGTCAATGGACTTTGAAAATATTTGAACTATTACAAAAACTTTAACGTAAATTCTAAGTCGAAAAAGGGGCATAATTCTGTCAAAATGCTTGATAGAGTTACCTCCTCCTGTTTCCAGGTTGGGGTCATGATGGTGAACAAGTGTGTAAAGTTTCAAAGCCATATGTCAATGGACTTTGAAAATATTTGAACTATTACAAAAAATTTAACGTAAATTCTAAGTCAAACAAGAGCTGTCGGTAGGACAGCAACGCTCGACTATTCTTAGTGCTTGATAGTAAAAAAAATGCTTGATACAGTTACCTCCTCCTGTTTACAGGTTGGGGTCATGATGGTGAACAAGTGTGCAAAGTTTCAAAGCCATATGTCAATGGACTTTGAAAATATTTGAACTATTACAAAAACTTTAACGTAAATTCTAAGTCGAAAAAGGGGCATAATTCTGTCAAAATGCTTGATAGAGTTACCTCCTCCTGTCTACAGGTTGGGGTCATGATGGTGAACAAGTGTGCAAAGTTTCAAAGCCATATGTCAATGGACTTTGAAAATATTTGAACTATTACAAAAACTTTAACGTAAATTCTAAGTCGAAAAAGGGGCATAATTCTGTCAAAATGCTTGATAGAGTTACCTCCTCCTGTCTACAGGTTGGGGTCATGATGGTGAACAAGTGTGCAAAGTTTCAAAGCCATATGTCAATGGACTTTGAAAATATTTGAACTATTACAAAAACTTTAACGTAAATTCTAAGTCGAAAAAGGGGCATAATTCTGTCAAAATGCTTGATAGAGTTACCTCCTCCTGTCTACAGGTTGTGCTCATGATGGTGAACAAGTGTGCAAAGTTTCAAAGCCATATGTCAATGGACTTTGAAAATATTTGAACTATTACAAAAACTTTAACGTAAATTCTAAGTCGAAAAAGGGGTATAATTCTGTCAAAATGCTTGATAGAGTTACCTCCTCCTGTCTACAGGTTGGGCTCATGATGGTGAACAAGTGTGCAAAGTTTCAAAGCCATCTGTCAATGGACTTTGAAAATATTTGAACTATTACAAAAACTTTAACATAAGTGGTTACGCCGACGCCGACGCTCGGGTGACTGCAATAGCTCTACTTATTCTTATCGAATAGTCGAGCTAAAAAGGGGCATAATTTTGTCAAAATGCTTGATAGAGTTACCTCCTCCTGTTTACAGGTTGGGGTCATGATGTTGAACAAGTGTGCAAAGTTTCAAAGCCATATGTCAATGGACTTTGAAAATATTTGAACTATTACAAAAACTTTAACGTAAATTCTAAGTCGAAAAAGGGGCATAATTCTGTCAAAATGCTTGATAGAGTTACCTCCTCCTGTCTACAGGTTGGGGTCATGATGGTGAACAAGTGTGCAAAGTTTCAAAGCCATATGTCTATGGACTTTGAAAATATTTGAACTATTACAAAAACTTTAACATAAGTGGTTACGCCGACGCCGATGCCGACGCTCGGGTGACTGCAATAGCTCTACTTATTCTTATCGAATAGTCGAGCTAAAAAGGGCCATAATTCTGTCAAGATCCATTTTCGAGTTAGGCTTTGGACAGTGACTCCTATTATGCTCTTGAATTAGTGTGTAAAGTTTCAACTCATTTGGTAGTTTTGAAATTACCAACTTGGACACATAAACTCAACCAAAGTGTGACACCAAGGAATATACTGACGCCTAGGTGACCTCCCTATATCTTCAAATAGATGAGCTAACTAGAAATGTGTCCACTGCACATGGATGCCCCTACATTCTACTCTTTTGCTAGTTTACCAACAGACAGCAAGAAAGTGGGACAGACACATTATGGCAAATCTATATGCCTCTATCCTTAAGATAGATCATATACATGTATATATAGAATACATATTTTGCTTTTTCACAATAAGGAATTTTCACACAACATGATAAATTAGGAACACCAAAGTCAACAAACCTCACACAGAAAATCTTTGATGGCCAAGAAAGAGGGTCTATCGGCAGGTTTTTGTGCCCAACATTGCAACATAAGCTGATATATCTCACTAGGACACAAGTCTGGTTTAGGTAACCTCTCCCCTTCCACATCTATCTTACGTAAAATCTGAAACATAAAAAAAGTTTGGTTACAACACCTTACAAACCTGTTAATATGAAATAATAAAAAACTATTTTTATTAATCTTTTTTTGTAATTTCATTGAGATCACCATCACTGTCAAAATGTTGCAAATTGTTTCAAAAGACACTTTCCGGAACTCGGCAAATGTGGGTTTTTCCCCAGCCATTCCAAACAAGCTTTCAACTTTATAGCTTCAAGGTGCACTTCCTGTCACAATAGATTAGTCACCCTTTTGTGCTTATTTTCGAAGCTGTGATTGTAAACGTTTGTTTATACCTATGGATTAAAATATTCTTAATTCCAGAGTAAGTCCATTAAGTGTTATCAATACATGTCATTAGGGAAGACACATACATGTACTTACCATTGAAAACAATAACTACTTATGAAACAGAATCAATGCTTGCCTATTATCAGAGCTAGGTAGATAAAGAAATATACTCAATAATATTGTCCCGACTTTTTAAGCCGATAATATTTCAGTCAAAATCTATGCTACAGTCATGAGTCTTAGACAATGATCTAAACTTCTGATGCAGAACTCATTCATAAACTTTGAAATGAATGACACATAGAACTATACAACACTTAAAAGCTTTGTAAAAACAGACTCAAGTTTGAATTGTGACATATATTTTTTTTGTATATGGAAATGTATTGAAGTACCTGTGAACCATTATAACCTAGCCAGGGCTCTTGTCCCAGGGTAAACATCTCCCATAACGTAACACCGTACATCCAGGCATCACTAGCATGTGAAAACTGACGAGATTTCAAACTCTCTGGAGCACACCTATACATACATAAAACAGCATTATTTCCTTCCTTTATTGGTATAAACATTATTTAAGCTTGATTGCGAAACAACTTCTTTCAACTTACAAATCTATATTAATCACTTTTAGGTCCTCTTCTTGGAACCATAGTACTAATGTCATGTGAAAGAAACATGGGCGTGACCCGATTTGGGTCTTGGACCCATGCCCCCTGGGTGGAGAGGCAGACATCTTAACCACTAGGCCACTGCTTCCATTGAGAATGAGAATTTCTTACTTTATCTTAACATTACCAATATTACGACCTTGTCAAGAAGTGTTTTTATGATATATTTTAATCTTACATACCAAACCTGTATGCATAATTATGCATTTGAAAACCATACATGTAAACTTTAAGCATCTTTATGTATTTAAAAATCTGTAAGCATAATTATCTATTAGGAAATCTCTGAGCATAAACATGCAACTTACCAAGCAAAAGGCACTTTCTTGTGTTCCTGCATCACATAGTGATCTTCTTGACTAGGTAATGCACGCATCAATCCAAAATCTCCTATTTTTATCTAAATCAAACAATACTTTTCATGACCATGTTGCTAATGTTTTCAATGACCAAAAAAAAAATCAGTAACAACTAAAATAATTTTTATCCAAACTATGTATTCTTAATGTATAAAAAATACAAATGTCTTTATGAAAGAGATCTGCTTATAAGATAACTACTCCTAAAGAGATTAATATGCAACCTATAGATTTGAAGCAAAACTGTTCTAAAGGCCATTATATTTAAATAGTAGCAATAGCAGAAATTTCAGGGCATTTAGCAATGGACCGAAAACTATTTATCTATTTACAGAGTGCCGTCTGCAGCAGTCAAGTAACAAACCACATATCGAGCATTTTTGCAATCAAAGGTGTCAACCTTGTTTAAATCTGTGCATTGAGCAAAACTGTCGTAGGTGATGAAATGTTATTACAAAATGTTTCATTTATTTCTATAAAAATAAATTACAAATAAAATTTCATTTATTTCTATGAAAATAAATTACAAACAGACCTGGGGTAATCATTAATTGTAATCATTGATTTTTTAATTGATTACATGATTACACTGTAATCATCATGTAATTGATTACCTTGTCCAAAATTGATTACATTAATTGTAATTAATCAATGACAGCTAAAATTCTGTCAGTAATCATGATTACAATTTGATTGACATTGATTACTTTCAAATTAAACAGGAAACTATTTTAATTCAAATGATGCCATTATTTTACATGATACAGTGTAACTTTTGTTTTACATTTATACAGTAAAAGCCTTAATTAAGACCATCATCTGGGCTGGACCAACATGGTCTTAATTGTGGGGTGGTCTTAACTGTGAACATTCTTATCATTGCTTGTACATACTTTAAGACAATGGTCTGTTTTAGTCATTTTGTTTGGAAAAAAAAACCAGTATGTATCTTAAGCTACAAGCGCAATATAAAAGACACTATAAAAGTATGTTTTGATATCTGATGAGAGGAAAACATATAATGATATTTCTGAAAAAAATTTATCTTAAAATTCTCTTTGGTCAGATTTCAATATCAATTATTATATGACGTACATAAATCACCTATCAAATAAAAATTAATTCTTCACAAAAAATAAATTTGCTAGAAGCAACATTCTAAACACTCTAAAATTTACCTTCTCACCTTATTTCATACAATAACCCAATAATAACAGTTTTTCACACCTTGTGAAATTAAGTGTCATGCAAAGCATTCAAGCAGATCACAACAACAAATTTAAGATCTAGATAGGTGTTGATTTTAATATCAGTGGTCTCAATAGTTGAGTCAAATTAAAAATAAAGCAAAGAATTTGGACTGAATTAGGTAGTCTTAAAAGTGGATAAGCAGTTGTTCTTAATTCTGGATCATGTAACAATTGACACAAAGAACCTTGTAAAAAAATAGTCTTATTAAGGGGGTGGTCTTAATTCAGGTATGGTCATCAGTAGGGATTCTACTTTACATTGAATGTAATCAATTATCAATCAATTACTCTCTTAGAGTAATTGTAATTCAATTGATTACAGAGGTAAGTCTGAGTAATCAATAGTAATCAATTACAATAAAATCAGAAAGTAATTGTAATTAAATCAATTACTGATCAATGTAATCATCCCCAGGTCTGATTACAAATCACTTTAATAAGATATTACAAACTATAATGTGTATATCACCTTTTCTCGCGACATAAGTAATACATTTCTACAGGCCAGATCTCTATGTATGAACCTCTTTGTTTCTAGGTAGTTCATTCCTTGTGACACCTGTACGGCATAGTCACACAGTTCCGACACCAATATCCTGTCCTGCTCCTTACGCATGAAATCTATGAGAGCACCAAGGGGAGCTAACTCTGTTACCTTAAATATTTAGGATAATATATAATCAGATTAAGTCAGGTAATCAGATTCAGTTAGGTAACTAAATGTTCATAAATGTTCACATAAAATTACATGCAAATAAAATAAAAACTTTGATAATAAATAGTGATGATTCTGTTTAAAAATTTGAACACATATATGTTTTTTAAAAACCTTGAAGCAAACTGAATGAAAAGCTAAGTTTTTATCAGCATTAAATTATAAAGCATTTGCCATGCTTAACATCTTAAATTGACTTGCCCATCTTTCAATTTGGACTAAAACCATTCATCATTTTTTGAACAAATATTAAAATAAGTACTGACTAAATAGTTAACAGTGCAGACCATGCTTATATAGTACAGATGTGCCAGTAATTATGGTCTGCACTGGTTACATCAACTTGCAAGGTCTGTTGCCACCAGCAACCATGTCAAGCAGGCTATTGGTTAAAATAAAGATATATATATACCATCATGAGAGGTGTAGACAGGACAATGCCGTATAACCTGATGAGGTTAGGATGATCTAAGTGATGCATGACATTAACTTCCTTCACAAAATCTTCAAACGCTCCAGGTAACGCTAATGCATCATTTCGTAAAATTTTTACAGCTACTAATTTCTGAAAGTTAGAATGATAACACACATTGATATTCTGATTTGCTTTAAAAAAGTGCATGCATATTGTTACAGTTACAATTATGAAAAAATATTTGATAGACAGCTTTCCACCTAGCACTGTCTAAAGAAATTTGCATTTTCAGAATTATCATCATGTTGTGATGAATGTTGATTATCTAGAATATACTTACACCAAAATTAGCTATATAATTTGAAAATAAGTACATCTGAAATTAATTTCATAGAGAAAAAGCATTTTTCCTCAAATGGAGGGAAAACATTTTTCCTCAAATGGAGGGAAAGGATTTTTCTTCGCATGAATGGAAAGCATTTTTTTCACAAAGCATTTTTCCTCAAATGAGGTCAATGGCTGAAAAATTTTATTTTACTAGATATTAGCCATTATGATACAAATCATTATTTCCACAAGACCAAAGAAAATATCTCACCTTTTGACCTGATGGTGTTGTCCAATCACCTTTCTTCACCACACCAAAACTCCCATTACCAATTTTACCATATATAAAGAGAGAGTTCTCGGCTATGAGGCAGGTCAGTGCTTGATCCATGTAACCTGATAACCGTGGTGAACCACTTCCTGACTTCTTACTGCCAGTCTTTTCTGGTACTTTTGGTAAAATCTGAAAGGATTAAACAACTGTTTTAAATAAGGAGTCTATCTGTAATTTTTTTATACTTCCAACAGCCATTATAGCATATGTTTAGTACAGTTGCAAGTTAATAATATCAGAAAACCTAAAAAACCCTACATTAGTATTATTTAAATTAGTTTTTATAGAAAAAAAGAACTTTCAGGAGAAAAACCTGGAATTCAGGCAAAATGCCTGAAAATGTGTACCTATGTTTAGTACAATGGACTTTTCTGAAGTAATATTTAGAACTGCCCTGTGAAGGTTTATACATTTATACAATTTAACAATGAAATTATCAAAATATAATTTACAGTCAGCAAACTATATTTGGATGAGAATGAAAACAATATATCATTGATCAATGAATGAAAAGCTGTGCATGAATATGGAAAGTGCATCAAACTTTGCCTACAGTGTTTTAAAGAAGTTATGATCTGGTGATGTCATAGAGGAGTGTGTATGCAGCATGGCAGAAATTAGTAGAAAACAGCTTAACCACCATGAAAAAATTAACAAAATAAATTTAAATAAACATCTAGCTAAATCAATCAAATTTTGTTTGTTTGTGTTTTTCTTTTTCAATAATTTCACTTATTTAAATATAGAAATAATATAACTTAAATCATTCTACCTTACAACAATACAAATCTATTACAGAACATGTTTTACCCCAAAAATGTTTAACAATTACCTACCTTTCAAGTATTGTCTTACTTTAGTAACAGTAGTTTTCTTTCTTTTGACAGCGTCCATTAGTCTACGTACAGCTGGTTTACCCATACCAATCTTCTCCAAGTCCTCTGTCTTCACATAATCAAAGTGGGCAATCCTGAATCATATATACAGTAATTACAACTATACCATAATGAGGGAAAACAATGCAAAAATGCAATATTTCAAGAATTTATTGCATCAAAATGCTTGTACACAAAAGTAACGATACTTTCACTAAATGTTTAATAAATAGGGTGAGGTGATATCTAATTCTATTTTAGCATACTATTAAAAAGAAGAAAACTTGGAAATGCATTTCATATCTCCTTTATTACAATTTTCTTGAATGTGTTTGATACTTGTTCACAGCTTTCTGATACATGTACTATGGTATACACTGTCAATGTATACACAATCTGATCTTTTTTTATACAAAAAGCAACAAATCAAGGTAATTTACAATTTTTGTGAAAATTGCATGTACACACAAAAAATAGTCATGGTAAGCAACAGTTGCCATGGTCCTGCAATGTTAAAAATTTGTCATGGCAAAATTTCATAAATTTTAGGATTAAATTTAAACATTATAATGGCACCTATAGTATATGTTCGATTATTGTTTAATTAATAAAATGTGTTTTCAATTTTTTAAGAAACATTTGCCATGGAAAAGTTACGAAAATGTTTGCCAGGTTTGCCATGGCAAGGTTTTTTTGCCACATGGCAAACACCAATGTATCACTTTCTGTTTTAAACCCTAGATAAAGTTACCTTGTAACTTGAAGATCATCTCTAAGTTTGGAGAAGAACTGGTCTAGTTGCACCTCTGTCAGTAGTTCATATAACCACTCACTATTCTCCCCTGTCTCCATTGTTGATTAAAGGTCTGAAAACCAAAAATATATCAATATGGGTATTTAAATACTATTTTAATATTTACTGTAAAAATTATAAATTTATAAACACTCAAAAGAAGAAATAATTCAAAGCTGCTAATAAATTATCTGATTATGTATTACTAGATAAAAGTAATTATTGCCACTTTTTTTTTTTTTATCTTTCTATTGCAAATTTTTATGAGTGACTTTCTCATGAACATGCACAATGAGAATTTAACTCGCGAAATTAAATTTACAGGGTTCTAATTTCAGATTGCATCGTCCATGAATTTTGCATTCATGCACCATAATCAATGACATCAAGTGTGTTTTATCTGAATTATCAAAAATTACAACTTTCTTGATCATCTGTGGTGGACTTTTCAATTTATTTAAAATAAATGAAAGAATTTTTTGAGATTTTACTTGCAAAAGCTTGATTTGCCAGGACAGGTTGCTTCAAAAAACTTATCCTTTAAATCATGTTTTAACTTTACTTGTAAAAGCAGACAAGTGCATAGAACTACGAGTCGACAGTGACACTTTCTTCACAATTCAATTTCACTTGCAAATATTTGAGCCAAGATTAGGTTCCTAATAACACTAAATGATTTTACAATCAGTGTCATTCATTCATAATCATATTTACTTTTACAGTTCATTTAAAGTTTTTGCCAAAGTCAAGTGACCTAACTATAGCAGAGTGGAAGGGTAGTAAGGATAAAATAACTGCATTTCTACTGCTAAGCAGATAACAGTGTAGGCAATTTTATAGGCAATTGATCTTTGGACTTGCTCTATCTTATAAATTATACAACAATGACAATCATGAGTATTTAAACTTTACATGTGCAGAGCATTGGTCTGACCACTCTACTCATTTCATTAATTAAATGTGAACTGTTCACAGTTTGACCCATTTAACTGATTTTACCTATTTTCAAACCATTGAAAAAGACATCACCCAAAAAATATCTTATTGTCTCTTTGACAAATGTAATATTGTTAGATATTCACTAATTATTTCATAGGATGCATTTGTTTCACCATCCAATTTAAAGGTAATCCATTTCGCTGATCTTTATTTTATGTCGCCAATGCTTTTCAAATACTGCAAAGCATTGAACGAGTATGTTGGAAATGTACTGGGCAGGAACCAGTTTCCGGACATAATTCGAGTTTTTTTAATTGTCTATTTTTTAATAATAAACATGCATTAATAAAACTAACATACCAAAAACCTGAGCTCAAACTACGTCTGATAACACAATTAATACTGCCTGGTGACGTAAGCAATGTACAAACTGAAGGGTTAAATTAGGTCATCAAAATTGTAAATTGTTCACTCTTGCAGAACCAGTTTCCGGACATATATTAGGCTGCTATTCATATCTGTTTGTAACTGATAATTATTCTAATATAACAAAAAATTTCTTCTCACATATTAGCATTTTTATATAATTAATCTGATTTACTGAAAAATGTTTATGATAGGAAAAATAACGATCATGTGAAGGGTCTCGGAATGACTGAAGAGTGAAACGGATATTTTTCTGTGTACGAACAGCAACGAAGTGCGAAAGTGGAAGTAAACCTAGCTAAACACCCGTTTTTTTCCGATACGTTACAGATTAGCTCTGGCGGATGACACCCAATGAACTTCGAATGAAGTACATTGTGCATTAATTGCTACCCCAAATTATATCCCGAAATAAACAAAATATTGCGCATGCGCAGAACAAATTACATGCCCCAAAGGGATATAAGGCTGTTTTTAAAACACAGGTACAGTACTGGACACGCGAAACCCGCAAAAGTCGCGTTATGCCGCGAGTGTAGTCTATGTCGCGACGGGACACTTCGCGGTAAACATCGCCGCGTGCAAGTTCGCACGAATTTCGTGGCGGGTCACGAAAAATAGCCGCGATTTAATCGCCCGTAATTTACGGCGAATTCTTTCAGCAATAATTGTATTAGAAAGTACTACTTGGTCCTTAATTCCCGTGGTCTTTAATTTGAAAAACTTTAAAAAAAATCTTGTTAAACGTCTTGTATATTTATAAATATTTAGCATTTGAACATGTACAGGGTATACAGTTTTGTATATTAAAACAAGCAATCAGGTGCTGGTGAAAAATTAGTTACAATAAAACGAGATTGAAATTACAAAAGGTAAATTGGTACTTACATCAAACGAACGCACGATAACAAATTGTCCAATTGTTATTTTGATAATAATACAAATGTTAATTAAAATCCATTGTTTACTTTCGCGACATATTCTATTTTTAGAACAATGCAAAAGCGACATTTAGCACCGATTCACAGGTGTAACTAATTATTACGTCTAATACGCTAATTTATGATTGTTGGAAATTGTAAAAGTTTTATCACTTAAATTGACATTTCTTTACCTTCAATTTCACGAGTAAAAAATGCCCAGGTGCATTCGAGTAGGTAGATGAGTAGCAAGATGCAAATCAGATTTTTTAATTATTCCGCCAAATCAGCCAGGGCATTTGACCCAAAACAAATTCCCCCCGAAAACAATAAAAAAAAATCGGAGTTAAATCACACATTTAATATGTAAAGTAACGAGTGATCATTCATGAGGGCATTCTGTGCATAAAATTAGGGTTGTTACTATTTAAAGTATTTACATAATATGCGACCAACCAGGGAAGGATGTTTTCCTTACGTCACGCAGTACTGCATGCGCGCGGCAATTAAGTTGAATAACTAGCACGTATCAAATTAAGGTGTGGAAACGGTGTATATAAAATTTTTTTTTTCATAGATTAATGAATGAATATTTGTAAAGCATTTATATGGTCACTAGTTCACATGTGGTAATTTTAATGTGCTTTGGGTACATGTTCGTTTTGTTTATGACTGACGACACTGATTAAATACTATGAAGCCCATGCAATAAAACATTTCTGGTAGAAGCGTGGTCATAAAAATTGACCGAGAAAAAATATCCTTTCATATTGCATTATTGTTTATGATAGCAGAGACAACAAGTATTGCACAATATCTTCAAGATCATTAAAAATTGTAAATAAAATATCAAACAATCACAAAATGCACTTACGATTAATAAATGTCAATGTAATTGACACACAATCAATATCCAACATTATTTTTACTTGAGCAATAATTTAAACATGTGTGAATCATTCACCTTGACAAAAAGAAATGACAGTTTTTTTTTCTGATATATATAAAAAGAGGGTGAAAGTCAAATCGAGTGCCGGCGATTTCTTTGATGATTCGGCAACAACTACAGGTGTGTAAACATCAAAGATTCACAGATTCTTCAGAAGAGCCGACCAGTCCATTTGTCAGAGGTCATTTCGTGTGTAAATTTTGTATTTAATTATTTAACAATGGAAACATTATATTCCTTTTAATTTATGGATGCTTCTTTTTGCGCGAGTGTTTTTGTGTCTTTTAGCGCTATGGAATTTCAACAATCGGCGATAATTTTCGGTAACTAACAATTAAATATTTTAACATTTTTTAAAACAGGGACGTGCAAATATCCGCCATTCAGAAATTATAGCAGACAAATCTTGCGTGTGTTATTTTTACAAAACGTGTAATAAATGAGTAATGATCCCGAGAGAACGAAATGTCCCGGTGATCCACTACATTTAGAAATGAACAAGTTAGATGTCGTATCAATTAGCTGTATCTTTTTATGTAACTAAATACTTTTTACACATATATTATAGTTTTATATCTCTACTTTAAACTCAATATGTACCCCCCCCCTAAAAAATAGTTTTACACGTGTAACATGCACACTATTTACCTGCAGATGGAGCCGTCTTACTTGTAACTGCCGTCGCATTTATACATTGAGGTCATGATTCGCCATTCACGGAAAGGTTTTAACGGTGTTGTTATTTGATTTCGCGTGGTTATGTTATATTTGCTCTGTTGGCATCAAGAGATAAATAGAGAAAAGGGCATTTTAGCAAATTACAGATTTCTTGATACACTTCATGTAGATCTACTAATTAATTTTCGTAAACTTTAATGTATTCTGTTTCAAGTTCACAGGACTACACTTATAAATATGATCTACATTTATTATACAATGAACATGTATTTATTCCCGAGAAGTCGCGCAAATGTTCACGGCAAAATCGCCGTCGAGTTGAAATTCGCGGCGATTTGGGTCCCCCCCCTTTAAGAAAAAAGATTGCCGCTGAATTCGCTCGGGCAGCTTATAAGCATGAGAAAGTCGCCGTGGAAAACGAAAAAAGTACCGCGAAAAAAAATTTGGGGGGTGGGGCCGGGTTTCGCGTGTCCAGTTGTAGAGTATCTCAGAATTTTAATGATGTATCAACTTGGAAGAGTTTATGTTTCGTCAAACAATCAAACCAAGCATCTTCATGAACAATATAATACCGGATCGTCATCAAGATAAAGCCAAAAATTAAGCCGTTATATAACTTGTCCGGAAACTGGTATTGTCCGGAAAACTGGTTCCTGCCAAACAGTACACATCTGTTACAAATCAATTTGAATCTAGATAGTTAATTTACCAAGATAGTATTAATTGGCCAAAGTTTTATGTCAAGGCAATTGCTTTATTTCTTCCAAACTGTAAATATATCCCTCTTTTCTATCGAAGGACGAAGCCATAACACTTATGTGATGTGCACAACCGTTGCAGATGCGTCATCGTGAAGCAATGTGCATTGTGATAAAATTTTGATTGGAAACCGTTGTTAAAAAATTTGAACTAACAGCTAACAAAAATCCTATACTTTCTCCAACACCTGTGGCGTATAAGATCGTTTCCTTTTCACACAATCCATAGATCATATTATTAACTCTACCTATCCAAGGTCTGTAGCCCGAAAAGTCTCTATAACACGAGACAGTTTTACAATTATTTTTTAATAAAATTCTTTCAGCCACTCCCCACGAAGTTTGAGTTTGAGTTGTATCGCCTCAAAGTTAAATCATCTCAAACAATAACATCCTGGTAGACGTTCACTTTATTTTCGAACATTGTGTTGAGAAAAAGAAGCCTGTTTTTAGGTAAATGATAAAAATATACCATACCCTTATTTTCATGTATATTATATTAACGTAAAGCTGTGTACTTTCACTAGTATGAGTTAATTTTTCATTTTGTCACATGTTTTCGCGGCAAAAAAATAAACCAGAGAAGGATCATGCAAGACTTTTATTGATTAAAAAAGTTTTGACAATTGAATTGCAGAGATGAAACTTTAAATACAACGGTTTAGTTTTAAAAAATTACTTCAATGCAATGAAAATTTGTGAACACCAATACCTTGGTCTCTCTCAACACAGAGACAAGAGATTTTGAATTATTATTAGATGTGGCTAGCTCAGTACTAGCTGTATAAATCTGATACTTGTTAAGATACTAAGGAAGTGTAATGATGTGGACTTATTATAGTACTTCTACTTCTATGATGAACTTGTCTGTAAATCCGCTGTGCAGACATCAGCGATGAGTGGTGATGTGAAATGTGCTCCATAAAACGTGGGCTAAAAACCTGTCCCCCATGTGCGGCACAGGTTCTCGAAGTAAATTAAGTTGGGGGAAAAACGTTTAAAAAAGTGTTTTTTGGGAAAGGTTAAAAATCCCAAAAACCAAATGGTTTTTGGTTTAACACTCAATAACACCGATGTTTAAATAATTTACACAAAATAAACGTAATACTGACACATTTAAAAAAACTGTCCAGGTTGTCCACAGATTGTGATGTTAGCTGGTAGTTGTTCAATAAGGTACCAGTCTTGGAAAAAGAATGAATGTTTATGTACGCATAAGTCTGCATTTTTGCTGTCTGGATGTGTGTCTGGTATGTTATCTGGATGTGTGATAGTGACAAACTTTACCGAGTGTTGGCCATTATTAGTTCGTTGTAGTTCTATGATGTACGCTAGATGAGATTAATTACGATTGAAATGGTTATTCATTGACGATCTTGCCGCGTTCCGTTGTATCTTTGTTCAAGGTTTTTCTTTGATGTATTTAAGATTGTTGGGGATTCCAAAATGTGGTGACGCATCATCCCAGTTTAGGTCGAACAAAGTGATAAAAGCTCTTTTTTTACTCTGTGTCGGGCAAATGTATTTTAAAGTTCCGTTTGATTAAAACCAAGAGTACTAGTAGCTTTTGCTGTGATTTGGAATCGATGTTGTTTGTATTAGTATCTGCCTAGTTCAGACTCCCAGATATGGGATGGTTTTAAACAACATGTAGTGATTGAATTTTCCCATTTGTAAGTCAAATACAGATTTGTTACGTTTATTTGTTTAATTGAATGGTCCGCACATTTAATTGACGTTAAATTCCATTTGCCAGATATTACTCCAATCAACTAAAGTGTCCAGGTCTTTTTGTAAAATATTATGATCTTCACTGGTGAGTATGGGTCTATAAATTACACAATCGTCAGCAAAGTGGATCTCAGGTAATAAGGATTATTTAATATCTCAGCTTGAAATAAGCTGTGTTTTTGAGTAAAAACGCAATTTATTAAAATTGTCCAATTACTCATGTAAATTTAAATCTCAGCGTACAACAAATTAATTGTTTAAATGAATTACCCAATTCATTTTTATCGGCTTGCATATCAGAAGTAGACTTATGCTCACTCAAACAGGCTGGACAGATTTTAGTCATTATTGTAAATTGAACTTTCAGTTAAAACTAAAAGTTAGCGAATTGAGTGGCACAAATTGATTCAACATTTTTGTTTATTGCTACATCTTTACATGTACTTTTCATTTCATATGATATTTTATTGCAATCTGTGGCAGGTAAAAAGTCAATGCAGCGATACAACCTAATCAATCATCTGATATTTTATATATTATCAAAATGTAGCAAAACTGTTTACGTTGAATATTGAAAACACCATACATTTATAAATGATTAAAATCAGTGACATAATGATATTGTATATCCCATTGGTAGTTAAAACACTTGAACTGTTTTTTGGAAAGAAAAAAACCAATAGAGTAACTCTTACCTAATTTATAATTGCTACGGATCTTGTAACAATACAGTGCCCTTACTCAATAAAGAAGAGTGAGTGAACTACAGAATGTTTACATCAGCAAACAAAATCTGAAATTTTGACTTTTGCTTAGTGATTTATTTTTATTAGGAAAACAATCTTCCCAAGTATTAATTTCCCAGTTAAATTTTGAAACATGATACAGTTAAAAATTGCATTAATACTCCAGTTAAAATTTTAAATACCCAAATAATTTTTATAGAGATATTACCAATATACTACTGAAAGCTTAGCTAGAGCTCTGCAGGGTATGATTTTAGGATATGTAAAACAGTAATACAGTATAGAAGATATGATTTTAGGATATAATTTAGAGATATTATTTTAGGGTATGATTTTAATCATATTGCAGATTTAAAAAAAAATGTTTTACACATCTTTTCATACCTACAGGTATACGTTTATAATGAAGCTGTATATTGTGTTACAGGAATGGGTAAATCTTCAAAAGACAAGCGAGATGTGTATTACCGTCTGGCCAAGGAAGAGGGTTGGAGAGCAAGAAGTGCTTTTAAACTTTTACAGATAAATGAAGACTTTGATATCTTTACTGGTAAACAGTTTTTTTACAGATAATATTATATTACACATCATTACAAATACTTGAAATTTGTGTGCATTCTCAAGTTACAAACCTTTTTTCTCTAAAACTATATACTTTTCTGAACAGTATATATGTAGAATGTAGCTTTATTTTAAAAATTTAGTAATGTCCAGAAGAAAATGCAACCAGATGGCAAATCTACTTTACAATTGGGGGACAAAATATTTTACATTTGAAAATGCAATATTTATTTCATGGGATGTAACAACTGGCCTGTATACTATATGCTTAAGAATAAACGATTGACAACATTTCTGTATTATATGTACTAGTTTTGTTCTTCACTCCCAACTAAAACAGACTCTGTGTGAAATGCCTTTATATTGCAACTTAACTGGTATTGATGGTAATAAAAAATGATTAAAAAATGTGACAGTTATTATAGTTTCAACTAGATATTCTTAACATGTAAAAAATGTTTGCTATTTTTTATATACCAGGTGTTAAAAAAGTAGTAGACTTGTGTGCAGCCCCGGGTAGCTGGAGTCAGGTGCTGGCGAGGAAGCTTAGGTATGCTTGTGAGAATCATGTATATATCAATTATTAACTTACCATGTGAAATTGTATATCAGAAATGTTTAATTATTGCGCACTTGCTTGGTTACGGTTTTTGATATCTTGGTCACTTTAAAATTATCCTACCTTTGTTGTGTACTTTAAATTTTGATGACTCCGACATTCCAGGCTCTTGTTCAACTATCAAGCACTTAAATGCGTCAAGTTTGCTGTTCTTCTGGCAGCTATGGCTTCATCTAATGTTGATTAAATACACATCATGCAAAAGTAAAGACTAAATTAACATGTAAATCAAACAGTTACAGAATAAACAGTGCAATATAAAATATACATATATAGTTTTTTGATGATAATAAATATTGAATCTTTAAGTACTAATTTAAGTGTTGGCATATATTTATTATAGCCTACCCTGTACTATGTTTTTTTATATTTTATAGAGGGTCAGATAAGACGGATGATAGTGTTAAGATAGTAGCCGTTGATCTACAAGCTATGGCACCTATACCAGGTGTGATACAAATACAGGGAGATATTACCAAGGTAACCAGACATACTAGAATTTATACAATAACATTTGAGCCGCGTCACGACAAAACCAACATAATGGGTTTGCGACCAGCATGGATCCAGACCAGCCTGCGCATCCGCGCAGTCTGATCAGGATCCATGCTGTTTGCTATCAGTTTCTCTACTTGCAATAGAGTTGGTAAGTGAACAGCATGGACTATCCCTATTTTGCTTTGTTTTTTTTCCATCAAAACTGATTTCAAAGTGCTGCAACTTCTCAAAGCATTGAGATAGAGTAAAAGGCTTTTCAGCGTTGGTTACACGTTGCCTTCAGATCGACCTGAGGCCATTTTTAGCCTTTCACATGTCCAAATTTTCTTGGCGATGAAACCCCCACAAACAGAAGGGGCACATCCTGATGTATCATTTTGATGGGGGACCGCGCCGAAAAAGTGATAACTTTATTTACAACATTTCTTTAAGGAAAAACAGTGTTTGGGGCCTCAATAGGGCATAGGGGGGGGGGACAAAAAGTCGTCAAAACACGTCTATATGAAGGAAAAGGTTAA